GCCTGAGCAGCCTAGCACAGAGCCACCCGGAGCACGCGCCTGAGCAGCCTAGCACAGAGCCACCCAGAGCACGTGCCTGAGCGACTGAGCACAGAGCCACCTGGAGCACGCGCCTGAGCGACTGAGCACAGAGCCACCAGGAGCCCGGGCCTGAGCGACCAAGCACAGAGCCACCCAGAGCATGCACCTGAGCGAACGAGCACAGAGCCACCCGGAGCACGGGCCTGAGCGACCAAGCACAGAGCCACCCGGAGCACGCGCCTGAGCGACTGAGCACAGAGCCACCCAGAGCACGCACCTGAGCAACTGAGCACAGAGCCACCCAGAGCGCGGGCCTGAGGGACCAAGCACAGAGCCACCAGGAGCACGGGCCTGAGCGACTGAGCACAGAGCCACCCAGAGCACGCGCCTGAGCGACCGAGCACAGAGCCACCCAGAGCGCGGGCCTGAGCGACCGAGCTCAGAGCCACCCAGAGCACGCGCCTGAGCAGCCTAGCTCAGAGCCACCCAGAGGATGCGCCTGAGCAACTTAGCGCAGAGCCACTCAGAGCATCTGTTTCAAGGAGGTCATATGTTTTAAAGTCAGACTTGAAGGGAAAGCAGTTTTTATAGAGGCATCTAATGAACAATTTACTTATTTATTCAATAATCTTTGATGTTCAGAATAGTGTCTGGGTGGAAAGGGAGAAGAGACTCTCTAGCAAAGAAATTTAAAAATCTAGCAGAGGTGAAATAGTGGCAAGTTAACTAAAAACAAACCAAAAACTAAACCCCCCTCCCCCCAAACAAAAAAACCAACACCTTCATTCTATTCCTTGAATAGGAGACTCCTGGAAATGAAGGGGTTGTGAGTGGTAAAATTAGCTTACCTTCAGGAATTTAATCATCTTCTTCACTACTCCTGCTGCTTGGGCCTCCTCGATGATTCTCAGAGAGGAAGAAAGGGTCCTGCTCAGAACACCAGCAGCTCTCTGAGTAAAGCAGAAAAAGGATGACTAAATGTCCTTTTCAGAAATGCTGACAACCTTTAAAACTTAACAAGGAGTTTGGTGAGGCAAAGGAAATCATTAGTACTGGAAGAAATTATTCATGCTGATTTTTTAAAAAATGGCCAAGTAATAAATTGAAAGCACTATTCTTTAAAACTGTCAAAGGGCTATAAATACTGCGTCTTGGCACTCAACAGTCCCTAATAGCTCTATACAGAACCGACAAGTCCAATTCGGGGAAAGAAAGTCTTCTGAGATTCCTCCCTGAGCTCTGATTATCAGCAGGGCACTGGTTAGATGTTCAACTTCCTGGATTGATCTGCGATTTTTTTTTTTTTTTTGCTGTCATGTATCTTTCTTTTTTTGAATTTCTGTCTTTTTGTTCTACTTTCTGAGAAATCGCATTAACTTTATTCCCCAGTTCTAATTCCTTTTTATTTTTTTAAATTTCAGATTAATATAAGGGTATACGCATTAGGTTACCTTGTTTGCATTTGATAGGTGAAGTCCAAGTGGCATTTGAGACCTTCACCCAGGAGGTGGGCCATATACCCCTGTATTAAATCTAAAAGGTGAGAGCTCAGCCCACCCCTTCCCCCTTCTTGAGTTTAAATGCGCTTTTCTCTCTCATGGGCGTGTAGTTGTTCATCTCTTTTGTTTTTTTAGTACCAAGCCGGTACGGTTTTATGCATATAACTATCTCCAGTCTTTTTCAGCATACGAATGATAGTCATTATTTTTTCCTTCTGTTTTCTATATTGTCTCTATTTCTTTGGGTTTTTTTAAATTAACATGTATGGCTTTCCTTGAGCTGCTCAATCACATTTAAGAAAAAAAGTGATAAAAATATATTTGGGAGTGCTGTATTTGTGGGGAGTGGCTCACCCAAATACTAGAAAGAAAAATCTCTTCTCCAGTTTTTCAATTCTTTAGAGAAAACAACGCTCTGGTTTCATGCCTGAGGAATAGATGCCTACCAGCCAAACACAAGTCCAGCGCCCCACTTCTGCTATCTGTTGTACCTGGTGTTTTGAAATCTTGATCCTCTCCCGGGTATTGTAAAGCAACTCTGCTATCACCCAGCTGTGTTCCCCTCATGAAGGTTTCCTCAGCCCTGACTCACTAATTACACCTCTTGCAGCTGTTCTCCATCTTCTAGAAATTGGCTAAAATTATTTATCCACTGGTAACCTCCAGCCTGTTCACTGTGTCGGTGTGTCTCTACTTTTTTTTCCTCCAAAGCCTTTAATCTCATTTTAATGAGGTCTCCAGAGGAAGGGATAAACCTGTGTATTACCATATTATCAATCTTGTTTCTCTAATCCTCCTAAAGATTCTAGACTTTTGCTATAGCTGACACTATAGATCCCTTTTCAGATAGATTCCTGTGCTGAAGCTGTTTTCCTGTTTAGCAAGCTGAGAAGCCCTCAGCTGTGCAGCACACACAGAGTCCTGGGAAAATCTGGCTGTAGAGATCGTTTGAAGGTTTAGCCAGGGTAGAGTACAGACCAGCTTTTAGGTCTAGACCATGGAGAAAAGCTCTAAGTGCCCAAGAACAGCGTTGCTTACCACTTTGGGGTCCTGGCCCTCTTTTGAGGATCTGACGAAAGCAAGGACACCCCTCTCATGGAAACACAAACACACCCAGAATTGTTTACCCAACTGCCGAGGATCCAGTAATACATTCATGGAGTCCAGATTGAAAACCTTTGCCCTGGCTCAGCGCCTGTGGCTCAAGTGGCTAAGGTGCCAGCCACATACACCTAAGGTGGCGGGTTTGAATCCAGCCCGGACCCGCCAAACAACAATGATGGCTGCAACCAAAAAATAGCCAGGCATTGTAGCGGGTGCCTGTAGTCCCAGCTACTTGGGAGGCTGAGGCAGGGGACTCGCTTGAGCCCAGGAGTTAGAGGTTTCTGTGAGCTGTGAAGCCACAGCACGCTACCCAAGGGGATAGCTTGAGGCTCTGTCTCAAAAAAAAAAAAAAGAAAGAAAACCTTTGCCCTGTAATGTCTGAATTGACTCTGGGGAAGTTATGAGAGTGCTAGCCCCAAACAGGGTATGTTGGAGCTACTTTTTAAAACACTGTCCCTAGCCAGTCCCTAGTGTGCAATCTTGGAGGTCCTGGTTTCCCAGATGTGACCCTGGTTGTTTCTCCCTGAAAAATACAGGGAGGAATACAGGGCTGATTGCTGATGTGAGTGAGGAATACAACCTAAGATGATGGCAAACAGCCTCCTGAATCACACGAGTGTTCTCCTGATGCACCGTGCTAACCACAGGCTTGCCTGTTTTCTTATCCAAATGCCAAAAACAGAATTAAGAAAGCCATTCCAGCAAATATCTAAAAACGGGGCTAAAACCATTATGCATAAACAACCTCTAAGATCACTGGCTTTTGTGACTGTGGAAAAAAGGGATTATAAATAAACTGGACACTTGATCTGTCCAATTTGCACAGGATACCTTGAAATAGGAAAAATCAGGTAGATTACATTGCCTAAGCTAGTGAAATTCCAGACCATAAAGAAAAGGGATCCTTAGGTTGCGTTCCTAGATTCTAGGGGCTCCACAGATGGACCTCTTGTACTGTGGGAGGTCACCAAATCCTTGAAACTGGGCAGGAGTTGGTATCTGTGCGCCTGTGAGCATCGTTCTGAGTGGTATGTTCACACCATAACTCGGAGAGTCAGCAGATTCTCAAAAACTGGCAACTTCAAAAAGATTAAGACCCACTGATGTTAAAACAAAACCAAAGAGCAATGGAAGCTGTTCCTGGATTTGCCCGGGAGGAACCTACCGTCAGGAGTCCTCCATCCCGGCTGTGCAGGAGAAACATGCACCTTCTGCTCGCCACCAGAGCCCAGTCCTACAGTGCGAGGCGAGGGGAGAATTTCCCGACATTCTGAGTCCCTATGGAAGTCCTTCCGAGCACCACTCCCTCCTCTCCACCCACCACACCCTGTCCAGATCTCCCTCCAACACCTGTCATTGCTCTGACTTCCTTCCCTGTCTGTCTCCCCTAAGTCCAGGGCGAGACCTTGACAGCAGGGCCACATCTAATTTGACTCTGTGAACATAGCAGCCAGCACTCGGCTCAGCACACCCTGGACAGTTTTCTGAATGAATACCTGACCAAGTGACTCATCTGCCCCTCAGCAGAGCAGAAGGACACAGCGCCCCACCCCACCCCAACTGTCTTTGTTGAGTCCATGTGCTTCTTGTCTCTGTAAACATGAGAACATTCTACCCAACTGAGCATGTCCAGGTTGCCCAGGGCTGCAGGAAGGGAGACCAGAATGCCGAACCTCAGAGAAAAAGGGGGCCTGCAGACACAAGTTCATCATGAGTCCCAGGAGGCTGTAGATGACCTCTCTGAACAGGTCCATATCCTCTTCACACCTGGCCTTGGGAAACAAAGCAAGGTGATCAGTAATGCCCTGCTGCTCTTCATGCTCCTGTCTTCCCTGGAAAAAAAGTCCTGGGGTCCCCTCCACACTCCCTACACTGCCAGTGTCATGAGCCTAAGCGATGGCAGCAGATCAGAGAACAGGTCCATGAGTGTCAGTCTAGGAGACTTGGGAGAAATCTCTGGTACCTCTAACATGGGACTGTGGCTTGGCCTGGCCCCGAGTTTAAAATGCAGAGTGAGCTGCTGAAATGGGTGACTAAGTCACTTCCACTAGAAAATCCTTCCAATCTCCTCTGGATGAATGAGACTTGATCTGGAAGGTTTTTAAAAGCCAGCAGGCCATAAAACCCATGGTTACAGAAGGGATAAGCCGCTGGCCCCAGTACCCTTGGAAACAGAAGTTTTGGAAAAGCCAGACTATTAAGAAGCAGCCAACTCCCCCAATAGGAAAAAGGACCAAGTTTGAATAGAAAAGCTAACACACCAGGAGGTCCAGGCAGGCATCCCCGAAGTCTTCACAGGCTGACATGGCTGCTCGGGTGGCAGGCTCAGGGCTGAGGTTTCCCATGACGGCCACACACTGGCAAAGAGCTGACAGGTTGGTTACCTTGGGATCTCTCTTCTAAAAGTGGATCAGGAGAATGTGACTCCTTAGAGAGTAGGCAAGCGATGCTATGGTAAGCTGGAGCCGTGCTCCTCACTCACCAAAAGGCCCGGGAAACAGACAGCTTACTGTCTTGACAGGGTCATCAGTTGGGTCACACTGGCAACAGGATGGAGGCACACAGAGGGGCAGGCCCTGGCAAGTCCCTGTCTCTCTCAGAGCTTCTGCTCCACAACTGTGACATCCTGGGGTGTGGTTATGTGAAGGGGCCCTGAAACTTCTATGGCTCACCAAGGATGGGTCCCAACCAACACATTCTCCAAGGAGGATCCCTTTACTATTCTCTGCCTTCTCAGCTCAAACTGCTGTTCCTCTCCTGCTGACAGAGTGACTTCCATTCAGGGGACACAGTTGCACACGGTCTGATGACAGGACTTAGTGTCGGCAGGGGGACTGATGGAGACTGACAAACTCTCTCCGCCTTCACCTAAGATGCAGCCCACATCCAGCCTTTCTTCCCCTGTGACCAGCCCCATCCACATGCCATCTCCACCTGTCCCGATGGCACTTGTTTTAATAACTGAGAATTGTGTAAATTCCAGCTGTGAATAAATCATTAATCAACCTGAAGCCACAGTTGTTCTGGGCTATAAATTGTGTTTAAACAGCTCTTCTCAGGCTTCTGAGAGTGTCTGTCACAGAGGGTAAAAACGAGGGTTTGCTCACCAGCACGCCTGTGAGTTCAGGGAGAATATCCGGAAGGCTGGCCTGGAACCAGGCTTGGAATCTGTTGAGAAAACAGCTTGGGTTTATTTCTGCGGTGCACAAACTGTTACATAAATACACAGCCATAGCAGAGAGTTACACACTCTGGGCCCCTGTCATTTACAGCACATAGGGACAACTCAGTGTGAACCAAAAAAAGAAAAGGAAAGAAAGTTACTGGGTGTGCAACGTGGCTTTCATTTCTCTAATTCTGGAGAACTGCCTTTGATATTAAACAACATATCTCAGAGAGCAGAGAAAATAGTTGCTGGAGTTTCTAGGCGTCTGCCAAGCTGACTTAGCGCCCGCCCCCACTCCCCTTGCTCTGAGTCTATATGCTGCGCGTGCACCACGCAGATGGCACAAATGCTGCCAGTATGTTTACCCATCACAGACACGAGGAGGGCCCAGACGTGTGCACATCTCCACCTGCCAGAGCAGCCAGTCCACACCTCCGGCCCTGCCAGCTGGCTGGGCTGTCTGTGAGCACAAGTACTTCCCTCATCACACGATCATTAGTTTGTGAGGAATTTAAAAAATAGCTCTGCAAAAAAAAATACCCAACCTTGAAGAATTTTACCCTCATGCTCGGCAGCTAAGACAAAAACAAACAAAATAATATGAAAGGAGGGTGAAAGGAGGTCATTTCTGGTAATGTCACCGGCAACCCAGGAGGGGCTGCCCTGTACTGTTCACTCTCACTTGCTTACACACTCACTCAGCACAGATTGGCCAGGCACTAATTTGGAGAAGCTTCCCAAGACATAGCAGGCTCACTCCTGGTGAGAGGCACTGTTTTAACAATGCTACGGCCCGCAGACCTGGGAGGCCTGCGTCAGCCTCTCCCCAAAGTGGCTAGAATGGGAGAGTGGTGGCCACAGTGCCCTGAAAGCATCAGACTCCTCCTCAGTGAATCTTGTGATGCTCAGTCAGAGCCCTGGCCTGGCCTCCCTATATACTGCACATCTTTACAGATCAGAGGGTTCAACAGAGGTTGAGGAAGAAATGTCAATTTTTGGCAATAAAAAGTTACCTTTTTTCCAGAGCCAAGTCTGTGAGCAGTGCCATGGCGGTATTGGCCCTCTTATCCGAGAAATCAAGAAATGATAGCAGGGCTCCCAACAACCTGCAAAAACCACAGAAACCTCAGAGTGGGCTATTCTGCAAGGGGTAACTCCCCAGCAAGGTGACCTTGCCGGGAAGCCAGGAAGGAATTGGTATCCTGGGAAACAGGTGGAGAGGGTAGCCTCGCCGTGCCCTGCTAGGAAACCCAACTCCTCGCCCACCCAGGGACAGACATTCCCCTACAGGGTCAGCTCCCCCACTTAATGGGAATCCCCAGGGGGTTGAATGCCTTTAACCAAACCCTATTGATTATTAGACAGCAGCTTGGAAGGAGTCTCTGTGCCTCTGCCGTGTGACTCTGGCTCAGGCAAGTTCATTAACTTAGATGACATCTAAATGGCGTGCTTACTAATCTGCTGATGACTGAAGTGGGAGGGCCCCCTAATAAGGTGGGTGATGGAATAAAGATTTAACAAGATTTTGACAGCCTGCTGAATATATTAGATGAAATTTAATAGGGTTTAAACTCGAAGTCCTCCACTTAGAGCTGGAAATTCTGTGTAAGTAACAGAATTGGAAAATCTGATTTACGACTGGTTTGTATGAAGAAGATTTAAGGGGTTTTGGATAATTACAAATATAATATGAGCAAACTTATTGGTGCAGACACCCGAAAGCTAATGGACTTACTGGCACTGGGAGAAGGGAAGTAATTTGTTCGTGCAGCAGACTCGTACTGAGTGTCTACATGCTAAGAACTGTGCTCAGTACCAAGCCCCGGTCTACGGTGGCACACGTGTAAGTAAATATCGAAGATAAACTATGACAGGTGATAAATCAGAGGCAGATAGCGGGCCGCAGTGCCTACCTGGTTGTGGGTGTGGGGGATAGAGGATAAGAAGCCTTGAGTAGGGCTGACATTCCAGCATCCCTTAAAAGCACAGTGTTAGCCATTCATTCATTCAATTAATAATGCTACACGAGCACTGACGGTACCAGTCACGGGAAAGGTTCTGGGGCCACATGGATGAAATGAGGTAATGTCCTCATTGGAATATGACTTGCTTAGATGTCAGGGAGGTCCTGGTTCCTGTGCCTCTCTCTGTCTCTGAGTGGGAGGAGGCTCTAGGAGGATGGATTTTACCAAAGTCCCCACTTGTGTCCTAGACACGAGATTTCTCAGTAGTTGGAGAACTAATCTTACAAGCAATGGAATCATTTCAGTATTTTAAGTAGGAAGTGCATTTCAGAAAACTCGCTTTGGCATTACGGTGGGGGCTGCACTGGGTGGGCAGCACAGGAGACGGGTCTCCAACAGGGGGAGCTGCAGCTGTCCAGACAACCTGGATGAGGGGCCACATAGTGGAGCTGCAGTAAGAGGTGCAGTCTAAGAGAGGAATCTAGAAGAAATGACTAGAGATGGGTGAGGGGAACCAGAAGGGAAGGGTCCAGGAGATGCTAGGGAGGAAGCCTGTGGGAAGGACCAGGGGAGGGAGTGAGCCAGGCGGCTTCCAGGATCCCAGCTCAGCAACTACAAGGGTGGAGACGCCATCCATGATGACAGGACATCAAGGCAGAGGGACTGGTTTTGAAGTTCTGCATTTTGATTTATTATGTGATGATGCCTGTGGATGTCAAGATGGAGATGTCCAGTGGCAGAAGGGTGTTTTCATCTAGCTCTCGAGAGAGGGGGGCACAGACTCTCTGTCTCTTGACGAATGCCAGGGAAGAGAAGAGGAACAAGAGTAGGGTCCTGGGGTCCCTGCCTTGTAAGGGAGACAGCATAGGGGGGCTTGTTAAGGAAACCAAGGAAAAAAGCCAGGAGGTAGGAGGAAGGTCAGGAAGGATGAAGCTCTGCCAGGCACAGACAGTTCAAGAAGGACAGTGATGGACAGGACCAGTCGCCACAGGCAGCAAGCGGGAGACGGAGCAGAGCCCGCAGGACTGCCTGTGGGGGAGTGTGGACTCCAGACACCTGCCTCCACGTACTGGATCTATTTAGCAGTGTGTTTTAGGGATGCTCCGGAAGCCAAACCACCCCAGGAACGATTGAGGGAACCAGGAGGAAAAGAGGGGGAGGGGATGCCTTCAGGATTGTGTGGAATGGTATGGCAGTTTGTGTTCAGTGTAAACAGATAATTTATACCGATGAGGAGAACTATCCCAGAATGGAATGAACTGCGCTGGGAGGTGAGATCCACATCCCCTCACTAGCTGGCGAAAGACCCCAGTCTATTATGGCTTTTAGCGTCCGCTGCAAATCAAATGAAGACAAAAATAAAGAAAACGCTGAGCATCCCCCAGAGGCACCACCGCAGAGCGCACTAGGAGAGCCTGAGGCCGCCTGTGTCCTGGGGCTGGGCTGGATCACACCTAGATCATTTCTAAGGTCGGGGGAACTCCAGGCTTCTCCAAGTCCCCAACTTCCTGGGGGGCGCGTTCCAGCATTCCTGCTTTCAGAAACTGGTTTTACATTTAGTTTAGACCTAAACTAATCAATTAAATCTGTCTTCTTTGGTTTTAAAAATGAACGGTAGTGAACCTGAGTAGCCCAGATGAGACAACAGTTTAAGATCATCTCGGTTTTGTTCTAGGAGACCTGAGCAACCAGGCTCCCTCACCATGTGACAAGACGCACATCCTAAATGGACCGCAACCTAGAGGACAGTGTGGCCCTTTCTACGTGTTTTGATCCCTCCTCTATGCGGTCAAATTTTCTGTTCTGCTTACAGCAGCTGTCCCTGTAGGTGGACTACAGGTCAGAAAAAGCTCTCATGTAACAATAAATACACTGTCACTTCTGTTTAAGTGATACCAGGGGCTTTCTTTTCTTTTCTTTTCTTTTTTTGGCCGGGGCCAGGTTTGAACCCACCATCTCCGGTATATGGGGCGCACCCTACTCCTCTGAGCCACAGGTGCTGCCCCAGGGGCTTTCTTTTCCAATGTGGCGGACACTGTTTGTGGCTAACTCTGCAGATACTCCGCACTCTCTTATTCTGCACAGCCCAGAAGCTGGGGCCATTTTTCCTGCCAGAATTGGACCAATAACAATTCTGTTCACAAAGAAATAAGCAGTAGCTTTTCTGAATAAAAGGGACAAATCCAGCTGGTATTAACCTTTTTAAAAGAGGCATGTGAAGCTTGGCGTTGCGGCAAGGGGGAAGGTGTGACCACGAGGGAAAGGTCAAGGCCAGGACAGAGACTTTGACCTTGAGGTATTAAAGCCACTGCACCAACAGTTGCTATTTTTAGTCTTAATGTGAGGAAAACAAGATAGGCTCTATTTGGCCTAAGCTCCTTTTGCTCAAGTATCCTGTACAGTGCAGCAGAAAAAAATTTTTAACTGACATGGATGCATCGCCCCCTTTGAGTGTCAACATAAGCTGTAACTGCAGACACGGTCCTGGAGTCCATCAACACTAAGTCACTTTCCGGGGTCACATGAGCAGAAAGAGACATGTGAAGGATTTGAGCTCAGGACTGCTTGACTCCAGAAAGCCAGCACTTTGTACAAAGTGATGCTGGCCCCTGGCTGGTTCCTGCCAGCACGCGTTCATCCCTGCCACCTCTGCTATGAGGAAACACATTTTGGGAGGAGTGTGGCATATGTGTCTGTGTGACAGTGGTGGACTGAGTGCAGCCCTGTCCTGCTCCTGACCACCTCACTCCCTCGCAGAGAAGCCCACTCCTTCCAGTGTAACTAGAGAGAGGCATTACCGAGGCCAGTGGGCACACAGGCTGTCGGCCGCAGCCCCTGTCTGCAGAGAGCAGGCAGGAGGACTGCACCAGGGGATCGCAGTCGCCACTCTCAAAGGCACCGTGGAAATTCACCTTGAAACTCAAGTAATTCAAAGATAGCTTGCGTGGGGAAAGCTTATGATAGTTATAGCTACATTTACTCAAAAAGACAAAACCAAATTAAAAAACAACATGAAGGAGGTATTGAGGAAATGACTGCAGAGTTATCTGAAATGTAAAATGTACTTGTGGAGAATTCCAACCACCTGCCTGTGTGGGCTGAGTCCGGGGGCTGCCAGGGACGTTGGTGGGTTGGCAGGAAGAGAGCCCTGGCCAGGGCCGGTTAGCCACCCTGTCCTCAGCACACAGGGGGCCTCCTCAGCAATGGGGCGGTGCAGAGGGCTCGGCTGGGTCCAGGACGGGTCTGACAGGGCAGCAGACTGAGACCACAGGGTAGGAGCCAGGCCCCAGGAAGGGGACCTGGGAGCCCGCTGGGTGAGCTTTCCTTGGCTCCTTGCTGCAGATTTTCCTGCCACATCTGGGAAACAGGGCAATGATGTTCACCTTGCCTACTTTGTAGGATGAGGGCAGATAAAACAAGATAACAGTGAAAAAAAATCAGAAGGCTGACTCCTGCTTTCAGATGATGGATGCAACATCCACAGAGCAGGCTATGATAACTGCCGCTATTTCTATTAGGTTGAACCCCATGAAATGGCTCACATGCAACATTTGTGCTCTAAAATGTGGCAATTTCACATATTCAGACTGATAATCTGAAGGTAAATCAATTGAAAAAGTAATGAAATAAAAATAAATAATAAAACAAGGAAACAAAATAATAAATAAAAATGAATAAACTATGAAGCAACAGGCAGAATCACTGTGGTTGGGTCATCTTTTTAGGAAGACCCATTGGAAGAGAGGCATAGTCTATTCCTACAGCCTTAAGCTTCCGAAAGACTTCTATGTAACAGCATCTGAGAAGCTTTATTGTGTTCTACCTTGTCTGAGAAAGAGTTTTAAGACATGCAGAATGAGACAGGCATGAAAGAAGAGAAGGCAGGCCCGGGACAGGTAGGGCAGGACTAGGGCCGAGAGGGCAGGAGCAAGCTAGCATCTGCAGGATGGGCTCCAGGCCTGGCCATGGAAGGGCTGCCACATTCCCCCTACAGTGGTTGTAGGGCAGAAACCAGCCAGCTGCCCACGAGCAATGAGGCTGTCCATGATAGCGACTGTAGACAGGAGACTGTGCTAGAGGTCCTCATGAAGGAGTGCTCCTGTCAAAGGCTCCTCTGTCACTGATTCTTCATCAACTCACACCAAAGACAAGGAGGGGGGATACAGGCAAGGCTGAACTTGTCAGGTGATCCCCTGCCATGCCACAAGGAAGAGGGCCTTACCCAGTCAGGTCAAGGTGGCCAATGATCAGGCTCCGTCCATCCTCGGTCTGGGCCAGCTGTAGCAGCAGGGCCAGGCTCTGTTGCTCGATGGCTGGGACTCTGCAGGCCAAGAGGGCAGGCAGCAGCCTAGCCCTGTCAGGGTGCGTCACAAGCACACGCTGGTTTTCCTCTGCAACACACAGGCGTCATGTGCTCTGCTATGCAATTAAACCAGTTCTGTCTCCTTTACATTCCAATGAGAAACCCAAGTCTTGCCAAGTCATGTGAGAGGAAGGATAACGACATTTAACACACTGACTGCCACACTAGAAAAAAAGCTTTTCCTTGGGGCCACAGTGTTTTACTAGGTCAAGAGAGATGTGACTTATATATGATTCATGAGGTCCTGGCTCAAAACTAGCATAAGTTAAATGCAACTCACATAGCACTGAGTGTGTTAAGACTCTGGAACCAGACTGCTGGGTATGAATGAACCGGAGAGTTGACCTTAGCCAATTATTAACTCCAATCCACCTCATCAGGATCAATTTCCTCGAAAGTAATATGAGGATGACAACCTCTCTCTAGAGAGATGTTATGAGGATTAAATGCTAATGCATGATCATGCTGGACAGGGTCCAGCACATACAAATCAGCTAGGTCATTGTTACTGTCAAAAGGCTTCTTGGGGGTGGCGCCTGTGGCTCAAAAGAGTAGGGCACTGGCCCTGTATGCTGGAGGTGGCGGGTTCAAACCCAGCCCTGGCCAAAAAAAAAAGTAAGCCTTTTAATAGCTGGGTGTTATGGCAAGTGCCTGTAGTCTCAGCTACTCTGGAGGCTGAGGCAAGAGAATTACCTAAGCCCAGGAGTTGGAGGTTGCTGTGAGCTGTGTGACGCTGCCCACGGCACTCTATCGAGCGTGATAAAGTGAGACTCTGTCTCTAAAAAAAAAAAAGGCTACTTGTTATGTGGCATCTGGAAATGTGAGCAAAGGGAAAGAAATCTGCTTAATTGTGGAATATCTTTTTTCTTTTCTTTTTTTTTTTTTTTTTTTTTGAGATAGTCTCACTATGTCACCCTTGGTAGAGTGCCCTGGTGTCACAACTCACAGCAACTTCAAACTCTTGGGCTTAAGTGATTCTCTTGCCTCAGCCTCCCAAGTAGCTGGGACTACAGGTGCCCACCACAATGCCCAGCTATTTTTGTTGTTGCAGTTGTCATTGTTGTTTACCTGGCCTGCGCCAGATTTAAACCTACCAGCTTCGATGTATGTGGCTGGCGCCATAACCACCGTGCTATGGGCATCAAGCCAATTGTGGAATACCTTTAGACCATCAGTCTTTATAGAATGGCAGAGTAACCCTGAGTTCTTTTCAAGAAACCAGGATATCACATGACAGCATGAACTAAAAAGCATGCCCTCCTTGCTAGACTGCCCGCTGTTTCCAGTGTGGTGGCCATGGATTTGCCTCTCGCCTTTGTTTGCTGACCATGCACATCAATTTCCGTGAGAGCAGGCATGATAGAGGCTACAGCAGGAGGCTAAGCTGTGACACAGAGCAGAGCGGACTGGATCTCACGATGGGCCCATCACCTGGGGCTCTCTGCCCTGGGCTTTTGCCCCTTCTGTGCTAACTACCCTTTTGCACACAGCCCACATTTGTCAAGTACAAGACACACCACGGCTCTTTTAGCTCTAACAGAGCCGGGGTAACAGGACTGCAGGATCTGATGCGTAACCCACATATCAAACCATGTTTGCACTGTGAGCATCATATCTCAGTCTTACACTTCACCTGTGATTACTCCTTTCCGTGTGAGACAAGATCAACTGATTTCTGAAATGGAAAGGTTTTTGTTGATTTGTCAAGTTTGTGTGTGTGTGTGCTTATTATAGTGGAAAAGCAGCTTGAAATAAATTTAAAAGCACAGAAGTAACATAAAGCTGAAAACAAAAGGTCCCTTCTCTAGTACCCTCTCCAGGTAAGCCCATTTCCCAAAGCAGTTATTGTCCAAACCTTGTGTAAATAATAACAATATTATACATTCCACCCTGTAATTGGTTTCTTCCCCACTAAATAATAAATCATCGACATATCTCCGTGTCCTTCCTTCTAAGTATTCCATTGCCCTTTTAAAAAACTGCTTTGTATTTATTGAGTTAGATATATCAAGATTTAATTGATCTGAGATACAGAATTTTCACCACAGGTTGTGTCGGACAATATTTTTCTGATGTCAAAAGAAAAGGTAACTTCAAGGTTCAGAGAAACCAAACTAGATGGTTGTTATGACGGAGTCACACTGAGTACACATGCTGTTACCAAGATGTCCTTCCTCATCCTCCTGGAGGGAAATCTACAGAAACACTGCCTCAGCCAGTGCAGGATCATCTACAGAGTAGCAAGGTACCGGGTTGAAGATATTACTCTGGGCATAATTCCCTTTAATTCTCTTCAGGAAACAGGCCTCCTGATTTTCTAGTTTTTTTTTTTTTAATTGTTTGGGATTCATTGAGGGTACAAAGAATTAGATTACACTGATTGCATTTGTTAGAAAAAGTTCCTCTTATAATTGTGTCCCACCCCCAAGAGGTAACCTCCCATCCCCCCCCCTTCCCTTTCCTCCCCTCCCCTCCCTCTCATTCCCTTACCCCCATTTTATTAGCTCATCTACTGCCTTCCTATTAGAATAGAGTTGAGTGCACTGGATTCTTGCTTCTTCATTCTTGTGATGCTTTACTAGGAAGAATGTGTTTCAACTCCATCCAGGTCAATACAAAAGATGTAAAGTCTCCATTAGTGGCTGAATAGTATTCCATGGTATACATATACCAGCTTGTTAATTCATTTCTGGGTTGGTGGGCATTTAGGCTGTTTCCATATTTCTGCAATTGTAAACTGAGCTGCAATAAACAGGCTAGTGCAAATGTCCTTATAATAAAAGAATTTTTTTTCTTCTGGGTAGATGCCTAGTGACAGGATTGCAGGATCAAATGGGAGGTCTAATTTCAGTTCTTTGAGGATTCTCCACACTTCTTCTGAAAAGGTTATAGTTGTTTGCAGTCTCATCAGCAATGTAAAAGTGTTCCCTTCTCTCCGCATCCACACCAGTATCTGCAGCTTTGCGAGTTTGTGATGTGGGCCATTCTCACTGGGGTTCAGTGATATCTCAGGGTGGTTTTGATTTGCCTTTCTCTGATGATTAGAGATAACGAGCATTTCTTCATATTTTTGTTAGCCACTTGTCTGTCTTCTTTAGAGAAGGTTCTATTCATGTCTCTTGCCCAGTGATATATGGGATTGTTCGGTCATTTTTTGTTGATTGAGTTCTCTATAGATTCTAGTCATCAAGCTTTTGTCCGATTCATAATATGCAAATATCTTTTCTCATTCTCAAGGTTGTCTCTTTGCTTTGGTTGTTGTGTCCTTAGCTGTACAGAAGCTTTTCAGTTTAATTAAGTCCCATTTATTTTTGTTGTTGTCACAAATGCCATAGAAATCTTCATAGAATCTTCAAGTGTTTCCCCCCACACTTTCTTCAAGGATTTTTATTGTTTCATGCCTCAGATTTAAACCTCTTGTCTACCTTGAATCAATTTTAGCAAGTGGTGAGAGGTGTAGGTCCAGTTGCAGTCTTTTACATGTGGTTATCCACTTCTCCCAACATCATTTATTGAATAGGGTTTCTCTTCCCCAGTGTATGCTCTTGTCTGGTTCATCAAAGATCATGTGGCTATAAGATGTTAGTTTCACCTCATGGTTTTCTATTCAGTTCCAAATGTCTATGTCTCTATTTGGGCCGCTACCATGATGCTGTCATCACTACGGCCTTGTAGTATAGCCAAAAGTCTGATAGGAGGATACTTCTGAGTTTGCTTTTATTACTAAGAATTGCCTTGGCTATAAGGGGTTTCTTCTGATTCCATACAAAATGAAGAATTATTTTTTCCAAATCTTGAGAGTTGTGATGATTGTATTTTAATGGAGATTTAATTGAATCTGGAGATTGCTTTGGTTAGTATAGACATTTTCATAATGCTGATTTTTCCCAGCCATGAGCATGGTATGTTTTTCCATTTGTTAATATGCTCTGCTACTTCTTTTCTTAGGGTTTCATAATTTTCTTTTTAGAGGTCCTTCACCTCTTTTGTTAGGTATATTCCCAGGTATTTAATTTTTTTTTTAAAGTACTTTGAAGGGAATTGTGTCTTTGATTAGCTTCTCATCTTGGCTGTTATTGGTATATACAAAGGCTACTGATTTGTGGATATTGATTTTCTATCCAGAGACAATGCTATATTTTTTGATCACTTCTAGGAGTCTTGAGGTTCAGTCTTTGGAATTCTCTAAGTATAAGATCATATCATCAGCAAAGAGAGAGTGTTTAACCTCCTCTACCCCCAGTTGGATGCCCTTCATTTCCTTTTCTTGCCTGAATGCATTGGCTAGAACTTCCAGCACTATGTTGAATAGTAGTGGCGATAGAGGACAACCTTGTCTGGTTCTGGTTCTAAGTGGAAAAGCTTTTAGTTTTACTCCATTCAGTATAATATTAACTGTGGGTTGTCACAGATGGCTTTGATCAGATTCAGAAAAGTGCCACCTATGCCTAAATTCTTAAGTGTCCTAATTAGAAAAGAATGCTGGATTTTATCAAATGTTTTTTGTGCATCTATTGAGAGGATCATATGGTTTTTGGTTTTGCTTCTGTTGATATGGTGAATTACATTTATGAACTTGCATATGTTAGACCAGTCTTGCATCCCTGGGATGAAACCTACTTGATTGTGATGTATGACTTTTTAAATGATAAGCTATAATTTAGTGGCTAGAATTTTGTTGAGAATTTTTGCATCAATATTCATTAGCGAAATTGGTCTGCAATTCTCCTTTTTAGTTGGGTCTTTTCCTGGTTTTGGTATCAGAGTGGTATTTGCTTTGCAGAACATGTTGGAGATTTTTTTCTTCTCACTTTTTTGGAGTAATTTCTGCAGTATAGGTATAAGCTCTTCTTTGAAAGTTTAATAGAATTCTGGTGTGAAGCCATCTGGACCAGGGCATTTATTGGCTGGGAGATTTTTTTATTGTTTCTTTAATCTCTGTTTAAGAGACCCATTTCTTCTTGATTAAGTCTAGGGAGAGGGTGTGATTCCAGGTATTAATCCAGTCCCTCCACATTGTCAAATTTCTAGGCGTAAGAGTTTCTCAGAGATGAGAGTACTCAGAAATGATCTCTTGTATCTCTGTGACATCTGTTGCTATTTTCTGTTTATCATTTCTGATTGAGGTTATTGGAGATTTTACTTTTCTATTTCTAGTTAATCTGTACAGAGATTTATCGATTTTATTTTTTCCGAAAAAACCAACTTTTTGGTTTAATTTTCTGAATGATTCTTTTGTTTTTAATTTCATTAATCTCTGATTTAATTTTGGTTATTTCTTTTCTTCTGTTGGGTTTGGGATTAGATTGTTCTTCTTTTTCCAATTCCATAAGATGGTTCATGAGTTTCTTGATGCGCTTTCTTTCTGTTTTTCTTTTTCTTTCTTTCCCTCCCTTTTCTTCTCTTTCTTTCTTTCCTTTTTTTTTTTTTTGACAGAGCCTCACTCTGTTGCCCTCTGTAGAATGCCATGGCATCACAGCTCACAGTAACCTCAAACTCTTGGGCTTAAGCAATTTTCTTGCCTCAGCCTCCCAAGTAGCTGAGACTACAGGTGCCTGCCACAACACTTGGCTATTTTTTGTTGCAGTTATTATTGTCTTTAGCTGGCCCAGGCCTGGTTTGAACCCGCCAGCCTCAGTTTATGTAGCTGGCACTGTAACCTCTGTGCTACCAGCGCTGAGCCTTTGTTTTTCCAGTGTAGGCATGTAAATGCAATAAATTTCCCTTTTAGGTTTTGGTAACTTGTGTCTTCATTGTTGTTATGTTTAAGGAATTTAACAATTGCTTCTTTTTATCTCTTCCTGAATTCAACTATCATTTAGTATAAAGTTAATTTCCAAGCCTTTGTATGGGGATGAATGTTTTTGTTGGAGTTGAGTTCCACCTTTATTGCCTTGTGGTCTGAGAAGATACAAGGTATAATTTCTATTAATTCTGCTGAGGTTTGATTTGCATCCTAGGATGTGGTCAATTTTGGGCTGATGAGAAAAACTTACATTCTTTAGCTTTGGGATAGTGTGTTTTGTATATGTCTATTAATCCCATTTTTTCTAGGGTTACACTTTCTGTTTAGAAGATACGTCCAGTTCTGTCAGAGGTGTGTTAAAGTCCCCAGCTATTATGGTGTTACAAGACATCATATTGCTCAGACTCATCAAGGTCTGTTTCATAAATCTGGGAGCATTTAAGTTCACTGCATAAATATTTAAAATTGAAATGTCTTCTTGTTGTATTGTTCCTTTCACCAGTATAAAGTGGCCCTCTTTGTCTTTCTTAACTTTAGTTGCTTTAAATCTGCTTGTATCTGAAAATAAGATTTCAACCCCTCCTTTCTTCTGATTTTCATTTGCTTGAAATACTGTTTTCCATCCCTTAACCCTGAGTCTTGCTTTGTCCTTCAAGGCTATGTGTATTTCCTGAAGACAGCATATGGATGGCTGGTGCTTTTTTATCCAATCGGCCAGCCTGTGCCTCTTCAGTGGGGAATTCAGTCCATTGACATTTATTGAGAGAATTGATAAGTGTGGTGGAGTTCTATTCATTTTATTTCATGAAAGTCCATTGTGTAGTTTTATCCTTTGTGCCATTGTGGAAGCTAAGTTTTGACCTTTAGCTTCTGGGTGTTTACTTTGCTGATGGTCGACTGTGATCATCAGTGCTGCAAATACATCTAAGTATTTCCTACAGAGCTGGGCTTGCTGTGGTGAATTTCCTCAACACTTGTATATATGCAAAAGGTTTGATTTCTCCATCAGTTTTGATGCTTAGTTTAGCATGATACAGAATTCTGTATCATGCTAAAACAATTTTTGTTTAAGAATGTTGAAAGTGGATGACCATGCTCTTTTGGCTCTGAAGGTTTCAGCTGAAAAGCCTGCCTGTCATCCTAATGGTTCTGCCTCTGTAAGTCCATTGGTGCTTACTCCTGGCTGCTTGCAGAATCTTTTCTTTCATCTTGACTTTGGTTAGGTTCATTACAGTGTATCTTGGAAAGGCTCTGTCTGAGTTGAGACGACCTGGGGTCTCCATCTAAAAGGAATGTCTTGGGGTCTTTAGTAAAACTTAGGAAGTTTTCATTTATGATAGTCTCCAGTAGGGCTTCCATTCCTTTGGGACAATCTTCTTCCCTTTCAGGAATCCCTATTATTCATACATTTGAATGCTTCACAGAGTCTCATAGTTCTCTAAGCACCTGTTATCCTTTCTCTCTCTTCTCTTCTGCTTCTTTACCTGTGTTAACTCAAAAACTCTATCCTCTAGCTCTGAGGTTCTTTCTTCTCTATGATCTAACCTATTTTTGATACTTTCTACTGCAGACTTTACATCCGCTGATTGTCTCCTTCATTTCCTTAAGCTCTGCCAAATCCTTTTTATATTCTATGTATCTCTGATCTGACTTTTGGTCTTTCCATTTTCTTGCCCATTCTGTTTATTGTCTTAATCATCCATATTTTAAATTCCCATTCTGTCAAGTCCATTAATTCTTTATAGGTGGAGTCCTCTGTAGTAGTAACCTCATGGTCCCTTAGGGGAGTTCCTCTGTTTTGGCTTTACATGTTGCCAGAATTTTTCTGTTGGTTCTTCCTTCTTGTTCACCTCCTTGTCCTCCTTTTTCCTTCTCACTTCCTCCTTTGTTTCAAATTACCTTGTCTTGATGCAGCCTCAGCCTGAGCAAAGCCAAACTCTTCCCTGTGGCCAAAAAACAGAAGTCTTTGCTCTAGATGACAGCATGTTGCAATATGTCACTGGGACACCATGTGGTGCTATGATTTTTTTTTTTTTTTTAAGGAGATAGCACAGCCAGCAACCTTTATGGTTCTTATTCCAAAGTTAGTTGCCTTCAGTGATCACCTGATTGTTTCCATAGCATTCGCTCTGCTGGGTTGGCATTTTAAAGCTCACAGGAATCCTTCAGGGGCAGATCTCATAGTGCCCTCTGACTCCAGTTCCCATGAGGTGCAAGGAGTCCCTAAACCTGTCCCAGGAGTGGAGTTCTAACCCTGGCAGGCAGAATGAAGACAGAGGCTTGAGGCCCCTGCTGAGACCTTCACCTGATCTTTTCACAATGGCAGCCCCCTGGCCACCAAGACCTTCTCAGTATGGCCACCTCACCAGCCACCAAACCTATGGCAAATCCACTCCAAGTGGCATTCAAATCTGGTTGCTGTATACTGTTCGAGTCTGTATACTGCCCACTCTTCCAAGCTTTCCACTCAATGCATAGCCTACTCCAACAACTGAAAACTCTGGAAAGGCTTCCTCCTGTCCTAGACCTCCATGGGTGCCAGCTGATCATAGCCAGTGATCACTTGCCTAGTTCATCAGATTTCCACAACTTCGGATCATATGCTGTGCTCCCTGAGCTATGACTCTGGGAAAAGTCCCTAAGCCAGGTATAGCTGGGTTCTTTTTTCCCAGTTGTTCTATGGGAGGTCAGCTGAAATGATTCTTCTACTCTGCCATTTTGCTCTACTTCCTCTCTTCATGATTTTCTAGTATTTTAGAGCTTAGTTTCTTAAGTTCTTAATTCCTGTGCTTTGCTAAATCAGAAGAAAATGGTGTTATTTTGTACTCAGCATTTTATAGTATACAAACTACATTCACGAGCTTTATCACAGGCTCCTGTAGTACCCCTATGAAAAGGAGACACACTATCATTATTCTCATTTTCACTGTTCTGTGTCCAAGGTCAAACCTTTTCCTATGAACTATGCTTTTTAAAAATGAGAGAAATACTGGGCGGTGCACTCAGTAGTTCGATACCAGCCTGAGCAACAGCAAAACCCAGAGTCTCTACTAAAAATAGAAAAAGTAGCCAGGTGTTGTGGTGGGTGCCTATAGTCCCAGCTACTTGGGAACTGAGGCAAGAGGATCTCCATGGCACTTTACCCAGAGTGGCAATGTGAGATTCTGTTAGAAAAAGAAGGTAAGAAGAAAAGAAAGATTGTACAAAACTTAATGAACTCATAAGACTGAATATAAAAAAAAATATAAGGGTTAACATAGTAAATAAAATCCCTATGGCATTCAACTGTCTCAATATTAGACACTACACAGAGTCAGAAGACACTGGGAGGGATGATCATAAATCTCAGGATGCTAAAACAGGTACTGTGGTCAGCAAAAATAAATGACATGCTCAGGCAGACGGGAGAGGACAATCTCTATCCAGCCCACTGCCAGCACATGAGCAGATGGCAAGAGTCTGCAAAAATCAAGGGGAAAGGAGAGAGGAGACCACTCATTATGCTGACACCTCACATCCCCTCACCATCCACCTTACTTTTGATCCATATGCTCTTTTGAAGGGAGGGGGCATGTGGAGATCTAGATATCAATACTCCAGCGCGTCGCCAGGGCCACACTTGATGGTATGGCACCCCATCATCAGTGCATTAATGGTGGTTGATAGTGATTTCCCAGTCTTACCATTCCCATCGCACACTGCATGCCAGAGCTTGAGGACAGACACACAGACTGTCTCCTCAACTGCATCTTTTACTACCATGGAAAAGCACCTAGAACGGACAAGGAACACAATCTTAAATCGGGAAATCAGCATTGATTTTGTTGTCTTTTGGTGTTATTTCATCCCAGAATCTCCCAATGAGGGTTTGAGGAAGTAATTTTATAATCCAGAGCCACTAGTCACCAGGATTGCTGAACTGCCAGTCACTGAACTGAGAGCTCAGGTCAAGGACACAGGCTGAGAAGGTCAGGGCTACCGAAGGGGTGGGCAGTAAGCCAGGGCCATGAGTGATGGCTGCACTGGGACCGACACTGCCACTGGGCATACAAACACGCACTGATGACTCTCCACACCACGGTCCTGAGCCTCAGGGAGTCATACCAGAACAATTAAAATATAAAATACAGTAAAATAAAAATAAAAATCAGGAGCAAACTTCCTACTATATAGTTCTTGTCTCAGATGAAACTATAAATGGGGTTGGCCAGGACCTAGCTGATCTCACTTCCTGATACGACCAGCAAATTCCAAGAGAAGGGAAAAGCAAATGGCAATCTTGCAAACACTGGTGGAAACTAGCAAGAATGAGCATTTTTCTGCTAAAGTGCTTGGAAGAATCCTGGGAGGTGCTGTTGCTCTCTAACAGTTAACTGTGGCACAAAGCAAATAGCCTGAGGCTCTGAGCTCAAAGGTGTAGTAAGCAGCTTTATGCTGCCAGAAGGGCCTGCTGCTGACTGAGGGGTGGTGAGGCTCAGAGGCACTGCTGCTTATGTGACTAGTATCTGATTGCACAAGGAACGCTGTCCTTCCCTGCTTTGACATCTGGGCTCTTTATAGATATCCTACCTTCTGATGACCTCGTTGTCACTGATGGTACTGAATCCATTGTATATTCTAAATAAAGTTCGTTCTGTGCCTGAAATAAATTCATAGAAAACTAAGTCAGACTCCATAACTGTCTGGCTGCTGTCTAGCTACAACACAGGCAGCTGAGTTAATCTAATATGGATTAACTGAGGAATCTAATATGGATGTCAAGGTCACCACATTAACGGTTTGGCAGACAGAAATACCTTTATAGTCTGAAAAAAACAATTTTCAGTAGTCACTCAGCACTCTAGGCAAATTAAACTATTTAGAGAAGCAGAATGGAGCTGGGGTGGCCCTGCAGGTTATTTTTATAACTCATCACTTTGTAATTTTCAGAGACCCCACAGGAGCTGCTTAATCGGGGAAGAATAGCGTATCCATCTTTTCTAAAATATTCATTCTGAAGCTGAAGCTATTTCTAGGCTCTAGAGAAGAACCTACAATCTCTAAGAAACTTGTTGAGGAGATATCTGGGTGGCCTCCATTGTTTACTAAAGGGAAGTCAGACCCTCCATCTATACGTCACTGTGTGTCACTGTGTCACTGAGCACAAAAATCATTTAAGCCTATTCCAGAATCAATGGTTGTAAAAATTGGTAAAAGAACAGCATGGCAGCCAGGTGCGGTGGCTTATACCTGTAATTCTGGCTGGGAGGCTGAGGTTTTTTATTATACACAATTCTGTCTTCCCTTCCTCTACAGTGAAGGGAAGTTATGTGGTGTAGTGTGGGATGTTTGGGGTATATACAGAGTATACATGTGGAGAAAGTGTGGGGGTCAAGTGTATTTATGGAGTGTGTGTCTTGTGTGGTATGGGGTATGTGTGTAATTGAAGTTAAGAGTTAGGGTTTACCTAACCTAGTACATGTCTATTGAGTGAATGCTGCATGTGGGTGTCTGTGCGGTGTATATAATATGTACCTAGTGTATACGTAGTGTGTGCTGTGTCTGTGTGGTGCTCACTGCATGTGTGTTGAACAAATGCACTGTTAGGAGAGGACAGAGCAGGGAGGGGGCATAATTTTGTACACCGACAGAGTGTAGATTTTCAGTCAATATTTGTGAGAGGACAGGAGTGATTCTTCGCTTTATAAATGCAGGCCTCTAAGTGCTGTCCCTTCACACCGATGGTACTCATGGGATCAGACACATCTCTGGCTTACAGTCCTTCATCATTTCAGTCAAGATCTCAATCCCCCCTGCATAGAACAGGGGTATCTGGTCAGGCTTGGACAGAGACTCCAGGAGATTCTTGGTCGTCACGGCTGTGTTCTTTCCTGAGTCTATCATGGCCCAGGCTTCCTTCTCCTGAAGGTCTGCTTTCTCCTGAAGATCTACTTGATTCAGGTAATCTAGCAAAACAGAAGGAAAAAACAAAACAAAATAAAATCCTGACAATCAACAATACCGAACAAAAAGCAGCTCCCCCCCAGCCCCCGTTTTTCTTGAGGATGGGCGGTTGAGACGCATAGAGCATTAAAATAATTCAAATAATCCCCTTCTTGAGCAAGGAAAATTTTGGAGACAGTGAAAATCCTATAACCAAAGTCTTAAATCATCTTAGGGATTCAAGGCAGTCTAGGAGGGTCTCAGGGAGTCAGCACAGGTGAGGAAAAAGGCAGAGACTGGAGCGGGAGAGCAGAGGGCAGAGCAGCAGAGCAAGTCAGCACAGAGGCTCAGACTGTGCGGGCGAGGCAAGGCTGCTGCCACGTGGCCAAGGGCAGAGAAGGTGTGGAAGGTACCCTCAGGCAGGTGCACAAGGGAGGTGAAATTCAAATGAAGGACATTGGCAGCAGGAACATTCTCACCTTTCACCTGCGCCTGCAGCGAGGGGGTTATTTCTAAGATCTTCTTATAACACTCTCTGGACTAGAAAAAAAGAAACAAGACCTTGAGAGTGGTCGGGGGTAAAAGGGATTACAAGAAAGACTCTGGGTGTCATGGGGACTGGCCCTCCACTCTTCTCTCCACGCCTCCTCCCGCTCCCAGTGCAGACAGGCATGGGAACACACTGTACGCTTCACATTTCATTTAGGCTTCTCCAGTTCTGTGGGGCAATACTATTACTTCAAAGTTCATTTAAAAAAAGAGTTTTGTCAGATATAGCCCAGGATTAAAAAATAGCCAGTCCTAAATTCTTGTGGATCATGTCCATCTGGGATAGGAATCATCATCAGGTAAATGCAAAAGTTAGATAGGGTATTTGCACTGACAGAGAGAAGGAGGCTGCCTGTCAGAGACGCCCATAGGGAGTCAGGGAATAAATGAAGCCGCAGACAGTGTCGACAGAGACTCAGGAACTGAGAAAGAGAATGGTCAGTGACATGTACTGGCTCTGAAGAGAGCCAGTGAGGGGGCCATTGGTTGGTCATGTAAGAGTCAGCTAGAAAACTTGGGAGTGAGCGGTTCTCATTAAGAAGACTGTTAAGTAGAGAGTCCCTGCAAAAAGACGCTAGTGGAAAGGAATTTCTGGGTTTAAGGCAGTACCTTTTACAGGGATATAAGAATTTCCTCGACTAGAGTATGATCTAGCCAGTCACTGAGAGAAAAGGCTCAGAAGAAAACAGTTCTGAGATATCTTGAAGGGTCAAGGTTTGTCTAGAATACTAGATTAAGAAATGAACTGGAGGAAAATATGACACATCACAGAAATACAGAGTGCCCCCAAAGTTACCTATAAAGCTGCCATACATAGGGAAAATGAGAAATTGTAGCTAACTGTACCTTTATTTATAAAAGATTATTACAAAATTTTATAAGAGGAGGCTAATACACACAGAACATTTTGTAAATATTTTATAAAATTTTATAGTATATACATCAAACAGAACCCAATATCCAACTTTCTTTTTTCCTTTTTTTTTTTTTGTTTGCACTTTTCAGCTGGGGCTGCATTTGAACCCGCCACCTCCAGCATATGGGGCCAGTATCCTACTCCTTTGAGCCATAGGCGCCACCCCAGTATTTAACTTTTCTTCAACCCCAGATATAATTTGTCAGCAATTTTTGCTGGTTTTGCCATCACTATATATCCAGAATCCCATCACTTCTTACCACCTCCATCAACAGCCTAGTTAAATCCACTGTCGCCTCTTGTTTGGCTATGTATGCAACACCCTGCTAAATGGTTCTCTGTTCTGATTTTGCCTGGTCAAGCGTTCTCAATATAGCAGTCAGAGCGATCCTTTAAAACGTAAGTCAGATCACGTCATTTCTTTGTTTAAAATCCTCTAATGGCTTGCAGATCCCTGAAAGTGACAACCAAGTTCCTCCAAAAGCCTGTAATGCCTTCTGGAATCAGCCCTCTATTTGCTTCCATCACCCTTCTGACCTGTCTCATCACTCTCCCTTTGATGACTGCATGCTAGCTACTCTCTACCCAGAATGCTCCTCCCTTAGAGAGCCACATGGCTTGCTTACATCACTCCCTCCTTTCCCTGACCACCCCATATAAAACCAATCTAACCTTTCACTGATTTATTTACTTTTCTCATTAACACAACCACCTAACATCCTATACCCTAACAGACTACATCTATTTGTTTTATATTTCTTGTCTACTTCTACCTTAAGAATAGATATGAGTCTGTTGAAACTATCGTTAGTTCCATGAAATCCAGGAATTTGTCTTGTTTACAGCTGAACTATGATTACTTGTATTGAAAGTGACTGACAGAAAGCATGTAATAAATATTTGCTAAATTAATTAATTGAATGAAATTTGATAGAGAAACATTAACATTTTCTTTATTCATATTTCTTTTTTATCTTATTACAATAATTCTACATATTTTTCCAATCAAAATCCAACAAAGAAAAGAACTTTTTAAAAAATGTACAATAGGAGACAATTTATTTATAAAATATTTCATAAATGGAAAGATATAGCATGTTCATAGATGGGATGACTTAACGTTTGCTTAGTTGGCGATACTTTCCAAATTGATTTAAAAATTCATGTAATACCCATCACAATTCCATCTGGATTCTTTGTAGAAATTAACAAGATGATGAGAAGTTCATATGAAAATGCAAGTAAACCAGAAAAACTAAGATAATCTTGAAAAAGAAGAGGAACAAAGTTGGAGGCCTCACACTTCTCAACTTCAAAACTCGTTATAATGCTACAAAAATCAAGACAGTGTGATTCTGGCACAAGGACAGATGAGAATCAACACAATGAAATTGAAAGCCCAGAAATAAACCCATATGTTTGTGGTGAAATGATTTTTTACAAGGGTGTCAATATCATTCAATGAGGGGAAGAATAGCCTCTTTAACAAATGGTACTGGGATTAAGTGGATACCCAAATATAAAAAAATTAAGTTGAACCCCCACTTGGCTCCATGCACAAAAATTAACTCAAAGTGGATCAGAGAGCTAAATGTAAGGAAAAAACTGTTGAATCATATACTTTCTACAAATGAATTATATGGTATGTGAATTACTTCTCAATAACCAGTATTAACAATGTGTAATAGCTCAAATATAATCCACACACATAGGGTTACTTTTGGGTGATAAGATTACAGTGAACTTCATTTTTCCTATTTGCTTACAGAGGAAAGCCCTTCTCTTCAGAGGTTGAACACTGAGAGATGCTACAGAAAATATCCCTATAGCTGATGGAGTTACACTAACTGATGTCCAACTCTTAAGATCTTCCCAATCTCCCAAAGACTTTCCCAACTCTTAAGATCTCAAATTTACCTGGGACAATACCAAAGGGTGGATTAATACCTAGTCAACTTGGAGAATCATGGTTCTCTTCTGGGACAACTGGGAACATCACAATGTCATCAAAGGTGCCCCTTACCTTCCTCTAAAGACTTACCATGCTGTAGTTCTTCAGGGCCAGGTGGGCTTTTCCCATGTGGAAATATGCTTTTGTGCATTTTTCATCACACTGCATAAAAGAGAATGACTGATCAGATGTTTCAGAAGATCTGAAGTCATTAGCCATTCCCCTACCTACCTAGATAACAGAGTTAAGGCAGAGCTTTAGCTCTCAGGACAGCTACCAGAGTTGACAATTAAAACTTTTCTGTGCATCTTCAACTAAACTAATGGATGCCTGGAAGGAGCCTGGATGCACCAGTAAGCTCTCTATCAAATTAATTAATGATACCTGCCAATTTTCATTTGCATTTAATGAGACTCAATCAGGAAGCAAACCAGAAACCCTTAGTTTAGAAGAGCTCTTAACACTGGCTGCACATCAGAATCACCGAGGATTCTTTTAAAAATCCTGCCAGCCGGGAAGTACCCCACTCAATTAAATTATACTCTGGGGTAGGGACCAGGCATCAGCGATTTTTTAAGTTCTCCAGGTGACACAAATGTGAAGCCGAATTAGAGAATTACTGGCTTACTAGAAGACAGGGGAATTTACTCTGGGAAAACAGCTGAGGTTCCCATTATATCTTAGTGGGCCTAGGACAGTGGTTCTCAACCTTCCCAATGCTGTGACCGTTTATTTGTAGTTCTTATGGGTTGAGACCTATAAATTGAGAACCGCTGGCATAAGAGGTTCCTCCCCTCAAATAAACTACATGTGTACACTGGGAACTTACACTCCTCAAGATTAGGAGGAATGCTCCCTTCAAAAGGCAACATTGAATCAATGGCTGAGACTAGACCATTTACACAGGGGGCCCTACACCTCTCTGCCTCTAATAATTGTAACTTCACAGGGAATGATTCAGCAAAGAGACATCAACTAAAACTTAAAACATCTAGTAAATAAAAATTTATCAAATCCATTTTATATTCAAGGCATTGTGTTGGGTCAGATGCCCTTGAAGAGGTTAAGAGTTGGGTGGATTCTTATTCTGCCACTCAGAAGTGAGCCATCGGCCAGGCTACTGACATTTTCTGACACTCATTTTCCTCATCTGGATAGTAAAGATAATAATAATAGTATAGCACTGGGCAATACATTACCAGCTATTGCTGGTGCAGTTACAACATCAGTAATCCACTTCCCAGAAAAGGAGAAAGTGTAAGAACTGAATAATAAAAGAGAGAATTGTTGGAGAGAACTCTTTAGATAGATTTTCATGTTTATCATTTCCTGATTCTCTATCACCCGGCAGTGATAAGAAGCAGAATGCTTGGTTGTGCAGCATTCTCCTCGTCCTTCAACTTCACCAGTTGAGTGTACTGGCTCATTCTCCTCGTCCTTCAACTTCACCAGTTGAGTGTACTGGCTCATTCCCCTCGTCCTTCAACTTTACTAGCCCCCGAGCTTGATGGTTCATGAGAGGGATCTCATGAATGAAGAGTGAAGTCTTGCAACTATTCTGTGAAGTAGAAGCAATTATTGTCCCCATTTTACGGATAAGGAAACTAGGGGTTGTAGAGGTTCAAGGTTACACATTTAGTAAGGGGAAGAACTGGAATTTGAAATCTGGCCACTTAACTTCAGGGCTCAAGGCTTTAAAAATTAACACCAACTCTCCTTTAAAAAGGTGCTGTAAAAAAATTATATAGATACTATAGAAAATGCTACTGAAAAGTTCAGGGGAAGGAAATCTACCTAAACGAGACGCACTGTTAAAAGGGCATGTGAAGGAGGAGTGATGGGAGCCAGATCTTGACTGTTATCTATAGAGAGGTAAGGACAGGAGGATGGGCTGGGCAAGGTGGGAGAGGATGAGGCTTCTGTGACAGTCCAGCTGGGACTGAGGGCGGCTGCTGGGTAGAGGGAAGGCCAGGAGGAAGCCCTGAATGCCAGGCCAGAGGCTGAGTCACGATTGGTGATGTGGAGGTGAGCTGGTCTGGAGGGGCATGCAGAAGTGCCCAGAGGATGGAAGGGCAGGGTGGGGGGATGAGCCAGGGGACTATTTAGAATAAAGGCAGACATCAGAAGTCCTGGTGACAGTGAAAGTGCAAAGAAGTACAGACACCAGAGCTATGTCAGAGAAAAAACTGACCAGTATCAAGTAGCTATACTGACGGAGTGGAGGAGAGTGAGGCAAAACTGAGGATCGAGATGCCTAGAAGGCTGCTGTGTCGTTAACAGAAAAGATCAGTTAGGGCTGGGAGTGAGGAGGGGTGAGTGGGAAGAGTTGCCTTCTAGACGTACAGAGTTTCAGATGCAAAGACACTCAAAAGGAACCTGCCGGAGTTGGCTGAAATGCAGCCCTGGAGCTGGGGAGGGGACGAGGCTGGGAAGTGGACTGAAAGCCGTGGTGAGAGGGAGACTGGAGCTTGGAGAGGCAGCGAGCAGAGCAGCGAACCCTGCTGAATTCACAGAGGAATTAAGGAAGCAGGAAAGGAACAGTCAAAGGCAAAAGAAGAAACACTGGCCTGCAGCTTGTGAAAGCCAAGTATCCACAGTATATTCACTGGCAATGCACCAGGGTACTAACAGGGGGAACCAAGCCCCAAGCGTTAAAGCCTTGTTCACGGCCAACTGTGTGTCACCATTAAGTGTTTTCGTTGTGACTTTGCCTTCCTCAAAATGACACAAAGGGCCGCTAACGGAATTTCTCACTAAAGGACCCATTTTCCTTTGATCATGTGTCAACACTCACTAGATCTTCTCAGGTGAACCCCAGGTTTCCTTTAAAGGAATCCTGCCCTCAGAAGAAGATGTATTTCATTGTGCAGGAAGTGTTCTGCAGAGAAAGAAATGGTTCTAATCCTAACTGAAACCAGCCTCTCTGCCTTATCTTCCTTGACAAGGAACATCAGTCTTGAAATATCATCACACGAACTTGTCTTGATCAATTTAAAAGTGTCAAAAACTGTAAAATTGGCATGAAAGTACTAATACTATTAATAATGGAGTGCCAGGGAACATTCACTATTGATACATTACTTTTAAAGGGAGTTACACTTTCTCTTTTAATTTATGGCTGCAAAACAGAACCAACCATTATTAGTTTTTATTTTATTATTTTATTTTTTATTAAATCATGAAGAGGTAGATCATGTATACATTAATGCATTTATGGGGTACAATGTGCTGATTTCATATACAATTTGGAATGCTTACATCATACTGGTTAATATATCCCTCACCTCATTTACTTAATTATTGTGTTAAGACATTTATACTCTATACTTAATAGATCGGACATGTACCCTTGCAATATGCACCATAGCTGTGATCCCACTCTTCAACTTCCCTCCCTCTGACCTCCCCCCACCTCATTATTAGTTTTTAGAACTCATTGTACGTATTTTCCCCAAATTGCCAAGTCTTTACCGAAACCTCTTCAGCTGGGAGTCTCACTGGGCATTTAACTGGCTGCTGAGTGTCAGTGTTTTTTAATGTCAACTCCATCAGCCCCGCTTTGCCTCAGTTTCACCATTAATTATGTTGTGCTTCAATTAACATTTGAGAATAGGCCAGTGTGTTATCCTGAATCAGCACAATGGTGTGTCTACTGGTTTGGTCTTTTTCAGATATGAAAAGATGCTCTTGGAAGCCCTATGATATCTTGTTTCTTCCACAGCAGAGAATGAGACCCATGCCCAGGGACTATAGGGTATAAGCTTCCAACAGAGAGGCCCTCTATAGTAGATGGTTAAGGGTTTGGGATGACAGTTATACCAACACTAGCTTCCTGATCCTGCATGAGTTACTTGATTACTAAGGGCTCAATTTTCCTTGTCAGAACAATCAAGAAAATAGCAATATTAAACAGAACAGAATAGAATGTTGTGAGCATGTAGAAAATGGTGGTTTTTGCGATTACTGGAGCAACTAGGAAAAACATCCTTGTCTCTCTCTTCTCTTGCAGAATGATGGTAGAAAAAGAAACCATGATCCAAAAAGATGACAAAGAAGGTTAGTGAGTCTGTGTTGGGACTGTGAGGAGCTTGATGGCATCAGCTTTGGGCAACTCTTACAACTTAAAGGCCATAGCAGTGCAATGGGACGAGAGGCGTCCCACACACTATTGTTGAAGAGCTAAAGAAATGACATTCCAGATGTCAGTTTTGGAGGATTCCTAGAGTTTTATGAACCATGATAAGCAAAGGTGACTTTCTAATTCCACTCTGTTTCCCTTGCTTACCCTTACGATAAAAAATAAACAAGTAGACATGGCCAGCATGGTGTTGTTCAAGTGTGCTGGTTTGGGACTGAGCTGAGTGAGGTACGACACATGTGCATATCAAAGAATTGATGCATCTTGAAAACCTGGCACATCCTCCTTGTACTTCAACTTTACTTGATTCAAAGGTTTAAAAAACAATATTGTTATATGGCATTAAAACAAACAAATAAATATCATGAAATGCCATGCAAAATTCACCAGGATTTTAAAGATAAAACACAGATCTTGAAAGCAATTTCATTCACTCTGTCTCTGAACCCAGGAAAGGCTCATGGTCATCTTCTTCTGTTGTTAGGGAGTGCTTCCGTCAGGAGTCTGAGAAGCACTACTTTGGGTTATATAAAGTCCCCCATGGCAGAGTAATAACTCTGGGGAATGCGGAGTAAAGAGTATTTAAATACCTACACATAGTCACCTAAGGTAAATACTGTCCCTAAGAAGTGATCACATCATTTCTCTTTTACTTCTATGCACCTTTGATTAGTATTTTGGCAGATTTCGGAGGAAATACACACATGGTATTATACTATCTGCCTGAGGCCTGACTGAGTTGAAGAACAAAGATTCCTTTCTTTAGATTATTCCTCTACAAACACAGGACATTATGCTTCTAAATTATTAGGGCTAGAGGGGAAAAACACAAACTGATGAGGACGAGTGGCAACAGTGCAGAAACGATCTCCCATGAATCTCCCATGGTGGCTCCGGAAGACGGACGTGGCATTTCCACTCTCCTGAGCAGCAAGGCCTCTGACCACACAGTGGTAAAGAACGTGCTCTTTCAACAGGAGACCTTGAAAGACCAACAATAATGGCAGCTTCTCTGGTGTGCTTACAGCACGCTAGGCCCTTTACGTACATGATCACACCCTCACAGCCGCTGTATCCTATTTTATAGGTGTCTACCTCTTTGGTCTTTTTCAGATACAAAAAGAGCTCTTGGATACTACAGAGCTTATCTCCTCTCCTACCATGACAGACGGGTAGCTGTCTTGTATTTACTTCAGGACTAAGAGATGGGACTCAAACAAGCCCAGCACCACTTTGCTGGAAGGAAAATATTCTCTTACCTTCAGAGCCCACTCACAATCTGCCAGCGCCTTCTCATAGTCCTCGAGTTTCATATACGCCTGTAAATGACACAAATAACTGATATTCATATTCAACTCTGCATCATACAGTCCTCACACAGAAGAGCAGCTGAATAGCAGAGTGGGGATGAAACGTACCTGACCCTGACCTAGATTGGTTATGATCCCAGCAGGAAACAATGGTGACTGGGTGACCAAGGAGAGCTTAGGACAGGGACAGAATTCTGTTCCCACCAAAGTATCATTGGTGCAGAGGGAGAGAAAAGTGCATTGTCAGGTATACAAATATAGTGAGGGCAGGGCTTAGGGAAATGGACAAGGGATGTTACAGAATCCCAGGGCTAGCAACAGTGGATAGCAACTACCATGACTCCTAACTTAAGGGGTGGAAGGAGGGAGAAATGAACAAAACGGGAAAGATTAATCTGTGCAAAGACCTGCCTGATTGTGAGCTGAGACCTTCATTGGAGGTCCCCTTTTCCTTCGGATTTCATGGGCTCCCTTTTTCCTTCAGATTCATGGGCTGAACATAAACAGAAGCTAGAGGGCTGGGAAGCCAAGAAGCCAGCGTACACAGATGTCATCCCCCAGGACACAGAGCAGGGCAGAGGAGGAGCTGAAGGAAGCGGCGCACTAATCATGTCTACAAAGGAAGTGCTCACTTCTGGAGTCTTCCCAGAGCTCCAGAAGGACACCAGATGATAAAGGGAATCAAGAAGACAGCTACACAAATGTTGGAAAGGCTGTGGTGCAGCACCTTTGGAAGACAGTCCGGCAGTTATTCAGGTTAAATGGAGAGTTCCCACATAACCCAGCAGTTCTATTCCTAGCTTTATAACTAAGAAGAGTGCTAAACATACATCTATTTAAAAAAAACTTGTACATGGATGGTGCCTGTGGCTCAAAGGAGTAGGGCGCCGGGCCCATATACCCGAGATCGTGGGTTCAAACCCGGCCCTGCCCCAAAACTGCAAAAATAAAAAATATAAATAAATAAACTTGTACATGAATGTTCATAACAGAATTATTCATAATAGTTAAAAAGCAAAACCAATCCAAATGTCCATCAACTGATGAATGGATGGATGAATAAAATGTGGTATGTCCATACAACGGAAAATTATACAACAATAAAAAATGAAGAATTGACGCATCCTACAACATGGATGCACCTTGAAAATATTATGACAAATGAAAGAAGTGGTCACAAAAAAAATAGGATTCCACTTATATTAAATGTCTAGGATACTAAGCAAATGTATGGTGACAGAGAGGAGACTGGTGGCTGCCTGAGACTGGGAGGAGGAGTGGGAGGACTGAGGAGCAACAGCTTCTTCTGGGGACGATGAAATGTTCAAAAATTGACTGTGATGGTTGCACAACTCTGTGATTATACTAAAAGCCACTGGACTGTATATACTTTAAATGGGTAAACTGTATAGTATGTGAATTATGTCTTAATAATGCTGCTAAAACGAAATGATAAAGACAAAGTCCCGCTTCTGTCCTCATGTGCACAGCAGGAAGGAAGGAATTCGGGAAATAAGCTGACATTTAAAACCTATAATGGCTCTAAAACCTCCCGTCAAATGCCTGGGACACTCTTTCAGAACACCCCATAATTAGGGAGAATCTAGACAATCAAGAATTGACTCAGAATTCTATGGTCCACTCCAACTAAATCAGCTTGATAATTTATTCCATTTAAAGCTTCTAAGAACTAAAGGCATGTAAACAAAGCACAGAGGCTATGATCACCTGTCTATTAATTACTGGATATAATAAGTGGTAAATAAATTCTTCTCAAACTGCACTAAGGATATGTGAAGCGCTCCTCATGACGGGGTCGGCACTGTAACTCATGGAGAATCTAACTAGCCAGCCAAAGCGAGGAGGGAGCAGGTAATAGCCGGTTAATGCCCTCCTGCAGTGCAGCTCTTGGCTCCAAAAGAAAAGCTGGGATGTGATGCTTTCAGTAACTTGGGTTCTGTACTAATTGGAGAAGATGACTCTGTGAGCTGTTTCTATAAAGCATCATGTTAGGGTCCTGGGTATTGTTTGAAAGTCAGAGGATGTGAGGAGGAAGCCGGCATCATTCTAGACAATGGTGGCCATGACTTCAGGACACTCTCACTCAGGACATGTACAGACTTAAAAAAATCTGTATGGGCTGCAAAAATAACATCTACACAGCCTGTTACTTTTCCTTTTTTTTTTTTGCCCTGAAATCCTCATTCTCCTTTTTGCACATTTTAAAAAGAATTACTCTTTCCCAATAGCAATTAAACACCAGATTTATCCACATTCTACCAGCAATCTATTGATCATAATATTGCTTCCAGGAGAAAAACAAAGCAATGAAAGGGCAGGGTTTTTTCTCTAGCAAGCAACATTCAATTCGCAGGGTCCTTGTTAAGTGTTTTCTAACACCGCATGCATACAGGAGAGGCGTTTTAAAAATAGTCAATGGTTCAAATGATTTGTGGCACCAGACAGCACATTCTGCGTTTCTCTGAATAAGCTTTCTCTTTGGGAAAGCTGGGAGAAAATGCTCCTCTAAAGCTTTTCATTGCATTTACTTATATTTATCCACATTCATTCTTAATGTGATTCTTCAGAACTAATCACAGTGCTGCTTAAAATTGAGTGCAGTGAAAATGTAACTAATTTAGATGAATCAGAGGGTATAGACAGTCAGAATTAGATGTGTCTGAATTACATAACTTTTTAAAAGCAATTCATTTTATTGCTTTCAAATAACTTCAGAGTTGAGCAAGTATCAGTAGGTAGATGTTTTTAGAGACCAAATTTGATGATAAGTAAGAAGGAACTGTAACTATTGTATTAATTGCTTGCATTTAAATGATTCCCCTGATTTGCCAACAGAAGCTTAATTCGCTTAACTGGACTTTTGTGCCTCTGATGTTATGTAACTTTACAAGGATTTATTGGACATCTGTTACAAAGCATTAAGAGAAAAAGTATAGGGCAGGTTTTGCCGTCAAAACGTTTATCTTGTCAGGGTGGAAATGTACTGTTAAACATACTCAGGCCATCTTATTTACTGACTCACTTGCTCATAATAAATTTCCTCCACACATGGAAGTAGTTAGATGACACTTCACTCCTAGTCTGACTTACCCAAACTGCTAAACTAATGAGGTTACATTGCATTTGGGTTTACTTATCATTAAATTACTGTCACTCCCAAGAATTTCTGGCCTCCAGACGGCCCGTTTCTTGTTATCAATACTCTTCCTCACCAAACCACAGCCAGACAGTCTTAAGCTTAAGTTACAGAAATTGGAGCTGATGAGGGCTCTGCTGCCACCTCTCCTTCTTCTAAATGACAAGGCATCAGGTTCCCCTGACACAGGTCCTGCTGAGGTATCCTAACCCTCGGACAATCACCTCCTTGATTCTGCCAGTTTGGGTGGGTTTCTTGACTAACAGGGAACTCGACCACACAAAAACTCACTGCTTCTCAAGGTCACAGGAGACACTTTTGTTTCCCTTGAGAACTATTAGCCCACCCGTCATTCTGTAGTAAGTAATGAACATGGAGGTGATGGTTTTCACCCAGGAAACCAGAGTTCAGCTGTGATATAAACCGAGGCATAAAGGCTTTCTGAAACTCAAAATTTCCAAGAAATTCACTCCAGGCCCATCAGCTAGCCAGGTTACCCTTGCCACAAAAACTTAACCTTAGGGAGGGACTGAAGCAATGACTAGGAAACTAACAGGAGGGCGGCCCCTAGGAGTTTAAACTAGCACCAAAAAAGGAGCTTGACCAATCCAGTCACCGACAGCAGAATTCCAAGGTCTCATTGGTCACTTAATTCCACTGGTTGTCTCCTTTATCCACATGGATAAACCTGGGTGCTGTCAGTGATGTGCTGGGGCCAACTCACACTGTGGAGGGAGCCGATCATGCCTGGCTCTTCCCACGTCCTCCTTTGGTGATTCCAAATGGGTAGCTTGACATCAGGCCATGGGAAGAGTATTCACATGGAAACTGGACGTGCTGCCCACAAATCAGCTCCCCTGACCCCTCAAACTAGAGCTAGTTGTTAAACATTTCCCAGTTCCCCAGAGAGACCATCTGGTCTCATCTTTGACTGCTGTCATAGGTGCAGTGACAACTGTTCCCCGAGAGTGGCCCAGGGACACTTCCTCGGCTCACTGACCTGGGCCCGGTTGGTGTACAGCACTTTCATGTCCTTCAGCTTCTCCAGGCCCTCCGTGTAGCACCGGATGGCTGCTTCGTAATCGCCTTTAACAAACTCTTCGTTCCCCTTTTCTTTGAGGGCTGTGAGAGTAACAGGCACACAGGTGAGCTCTCACCACACGTTGGAAAATTCTTTTGGACTTTATTCCCCTGGTTTTCCAAATCTACTCTGAAGGTCTGATCCAAAAGGGACTTGTCACTTGTTCCTCTCGGCAGATATTGCAGGACCAGCTTCTTAAGTATACTTTCTCCACATCTCCCCCCAAAGTCTTCTAAGTAGCTTCTCAGAAAAGGTCAATGTTTCTGCATCAAGCCTTAGAACCCCATCAAGCTTTCAACAGTGACCAAGTCTATACATTTACTATCCCCCACGAAGGGTCAAATAATTAATTTTCTAACAACTATGGAATCGTCTAGCTCTGCAGTAGGGGGTGGTATAAAACGAATGGAGAAAGCATTCCTCTGCCGCATGTATCTCCCCCAGCACATACAGGCCTGTCTCTTTTTTTCTTTCCTTTCTCCTCTCTTTTCTCACACCTTGATTTCGTTTTTCTTTCTCACTTCACCTATGCCTCAGGCTCGCCTACCTCACGCCCATCCCTCCCTGTTTTCCCAGCACTGTTTAGCGCTGTGCAATCTCATCTGCTGAGTCCACCATATGTTTTAGAAAGAGGTCTGACTGGGGAAGCAGACTGAGGGCCGTGTCCTACCCCCGGCTCTTGGCAGCAGGAACAGAGAACAAGACGGCCAGAGATTCTTGCCTGGCCAAGTCCCATTGCCTCGGGACCATCGCAAACCTGTGGTACGGGAATCTTGATATCCTTGAACGTCAGCACACGGCTTCCCAGGCTCCTTCTAGCACAGACCATCCCAGCTATTGAAAAGTAAGGGCTGACAATTACCGTCTGCCAAGACCTTGTTTTCCCTTCTCCTCTCGGCTCGTTCCTTCGCATCCTTCTCCACAGATGCCAAGAAGGCCTCTGACAGCAGAGTAATTTCAAATATGAAAAAGAAAGATCCAAATACTATAATCAGTTCTTCAGTTCAAATTCAGAAGACAGCTACTTTAGAACTTCACAGCCACACTTCTCACGCACACACACGCACGCACACTCACAATTCTGAGGCAACTAAATGACATTTTCTTAATTTGACATTAAATGGTAATCTGTGTGATGTATTATTATACATGATGGCTATGACTGTGCTTCAAATTTGAATTATGTCTTTTAAAAGAGTTTTTCTTTGAAGAGTGACTTTTTTGTTCCATTTAGCATAATGAGCTTCTGAGCTGAGCAGTAGAGAAACTACTCGGATCCTCTGAACAGCTAAGAGTTAATTGGATGGTACAGAATCACTGAATTCAGTTTATAAAAAATTGGGCAGGAGAAAACAGAGAAAAATCTCTGAGTACCTTCCCTCCCCTCTGACCACTGGTAACAGAACTGCCTGATCAGTAGGTCTCATTCACAGGTTGTCTGCAAGCCCAGAGGCTATAATTTAAGGGTCTGGAAGTTACAATCAGCAAAATCTGATCCTAAGTAAAGATTTAAAATTGGGAAGAGAGATGCTGTCCTTACCTGAGTTTATTTCTTCCACATTCTGCAGGATACAGGTTATCATAAAAACAAAGAAACAAATTTCAAAAACCACTCTCTGATTTATGTGTATATACATCAAGAAAGGCGATGAATTACAAATGAGAATCAGGTCATTCCTTTAACCAGTAAGGAAAGGCCCAAAGCACAGGGGGCTTGCTTTTAGATCAGGAGATCTGATTACGGACACAACTGCTGTGGGGTTGAAGAGGCAGAAAAGAGGCTTCCCAGGTCAAGGGACCTCGGCTGTGCCTGTATGAATTGAAAATACAAACTAGAGAAATGTATTACCTTAGCAGTGCAGGATAAATACGTTACATTTATACATGATAAAATGTATATGATATATAATATGATTATACATAATATATAACATATATTATATATAATCCCCTTTCAGGGGTTGGAGAGGCCAAAGTTTTATTAAGACAGATTTAAAGGTTTATTTAAAGATGATCCAGAAGGACCAAGGGAAAAAAAAACAAAACAGAACAGAATTTCCTTATTATGAGAAAGAATCCAAGAAAGAAAAGACTCTTTCAGCCTTAGCAGACAATCTGAGATTAAACTATTTCTTCAGTGTAGGTCTTCTCATTGTATCTATTTCTATGCGTTCATAACAGAAAAGGAAACCTTGGTAGGAGCTTGTGGAGGACTGATCATAGTCTTGTTCAAGGTGGTCCTGCATCCGTCCACCTCTTGGTCTTCCTCCATAAGCAGCAGTCTCTTTTCTGTCTCGAGGACAGCTTTCTGTTGTACAACTGGGTCATCAGAATTCATCTCCTGAATTAAACTGGCTAGAAGAGAAATAATATGTGAATCAATCAAACGTGGTCTTCTAAAGACTCCCTTCACTAGAAAGGATGGTGCCGAAAACTCATAGGGAAGCTCTTAAGGAAAAAAATGCAGCAATAGAAAGCAAAACGGAGCAATCAGAACCGATGTGAAAAAATTAAGAACAGGATTTGTTTTGACAGTTGCTTGGAGAATTTAACTATGGACTTCAAGGAATGGAGTTTTAAGCCACTACTAATCCAATAATAATTTATGGATGAGCTTGTAATGAGTTTGAGAACATGCTGAATGCGATAGATGACAATGATGAATAAAAAAGATCCTTTTTCTTGAAGAGCTTATGATTTTGTGTGGGAGACACACATGTAAGTACAGGCAGCTCTGATGGCACAGAACAGCCCTCAGCCCTCAGCCCTGCCTGTCTACACTTTATTGCCTCCCTGGGTTATATCTACCATCTATCACTTGGCAGCCATTCTGCTCATGGTCAACTCATTGCCTTCCCACCACACCCAAGAGACAAAACTTCAACTCTAGATGAATTCAACCACCTACCTCTCTTTTACGGGGATGCTGAGCACTGAGAGAGAAAGACAGATGCTGGTCCCAACTCAACTGGACTTTCAGTGACAGGACAACCAACCTTCTTATCTTGGGCAATCTTTAAAGACTTTTAAAAGTTTTGTAATCTAAACTTGACCATCTCAGACACAACACCTTATCAGAAAGGAAAGAGATACTGTCAACTTCCTGCCCTCAAAACTACAAAACCGCCTGACCTACACCTACATTCATCTGTCCTTCCTTCCTACCACAAGGAAAAGGTGTCCCTCCACCTGTATGAGGCTAATCCTTCATCCTGCGCTCAGGGTCTTAGCATCTCATTCTGAGTAACCAGTAACCTTGCATCACCAGCTCATTATACCATTTTAGCAATATTTTCAACCTCTTCTATTTGATCAGCTTCTTCATAAAGGTTGTCTATACACTTAAAATCTCTCCTGATGTCCTATTTCTTCCTCTTCACAACTAAACCGCTTAAAGGTATCCTCCTTTTTTCTTTAAGTTCAGGGTGTCCCAAAAGTTGCCCATAAAGTTGTGGGAAAGTGGCAACTTATACCTAAATGTACCTTTACTTAAAAAATATTCATTACAAAATATTTACCAACTATTCTCTCCCTGTTGGCCAGCTGTCTGTAATTTTTTTTAAATGAATATTTTGTAAAGGAGCATTGAGCTACAATGTCTCCTTTTCCCAGTGTATGGCAACTTTTAGGACACCCTATACTGCCCATTTCTTCTTTCCTACTGAGTCTTCACAGAAATTAGTTTTCAAAAATTTTAGTTATAACATATCTTACACATAAATAAATTAACAGACCTTTTTGTTCCATGCCATCTGTAAGTTAATAGGCATCCTTTCTCCAGCATGTTTTAATGTCTAATACTTCACTTAGCTTTTACTGCATGACAGCTCACACCAACTTTGTGGCTAAGCCTGTTATTTAGCTTAGTTTACAATTCTCTGGGCCAGCAACTTGAGCTGGACTAAGCTGGCTAGCTCTTCTTCTAGTTTCTGTAGGGGTCACACACACAGACATGTATATCTGTGGTCAGCTGTCTGAGTGGCTCTGCTTTGCAAAGTTGACTGGTAGTTTGCTCCAGTGATGGGAGCAACCAGGGAAAAGTACATCTTTTCCAGAAGGGGTTCCCAAGAGTGGCATGGAAGCCCCAAAGCACATTCACTTTTTAAGCCTTTGCTTAAGTCATGTTTGCAAACATCCCTTTGGCCAAAGCCAATCACATGGCCAATCCAGATTCAAGGAGTAGAAAACAGATTATTACAGACTTGGTGATGGGAAGAAGTTTGTGACCATATTTGCAATCTATTGGAATATTTGTCTATGTCTATTAAAAGACTTAAAATATATGCTTGTATTAAACGTGCATTCTTTTGTAAATTTTTTCTCTCAATATGCTTTAGAGATTTGTTCTTGATATATTTAGCTCCACTTGATTCACTTAAATCATTGTATATACCACAGTTAATCCATCTCTTTCTTGACAGATAACCACGTGGCTTTATTTTTTGCTACAATAAACAGATGCTGACCTGAGTACCTGTATGTACCTATTTCTTGGTGTACATGGTACATATACTTCAGGATATGGCTGTATCAATTTTTATTCCCATAAGCAGTATACAAGATTTCCCATTCTTCCACATTCTCGTAAATACTTGTTATGTCAAACTTTTTAATTTTGCCAATGTGATAAATACAATAATTCCACTAATGTTTTAATCCACATTTTGCCGAATCCACTTAGATTGGGCAGCTTCTTATTGCTTTGCAGGCCATCTAGATTTATTTCCGTTTCTGTGAAGAACCTATTCCTATCCTTGGCCAATTGTCTATTGGGTCATTTTTCCCTTTCTTATTCATTTGCATGATTCCATTTTAAAAAATTTTTACATTGTTTTTTAGAGATCTCAGTATGTTGCCCAGGCTGGATTCAAACTTCCGGGCTTAAGTGATTCTCCTGTCTCAGTCTCATGAGTACATGGGACTGTAGGTGCCTGCCCCATGGCCAGCTGACTTCTTTATGTACTCTGGACTGCTACATATATTTGCAAACATCCTCTCCTTGGCTATGGCTCGTCTTTTCACTTTTTCTTTTTTACATCAATTATTTTTATTAATGATAATTTCTTCAAAGAGGATACGCAGAGGTAAAAGGACTAGGAAAATAGGACAAAATATTAAGAGTTGTTGCTTCTGAGTGACAAATGGGTGATTATTTTCTAGTTCCTCATTTTCTACATTTTTAAAATTTCTCCAAAAATAGAGAAAGGAAAAGGAAAAAAGAAAAGAAAAGAAAAGATCAATAGTGTTCTGAGCTGCATTCCTTTTTGGAGGCTCTGGGAGAATCCGTTTCCTTGGCTTTTTCAGCTTCTAGAAGCCATGAGCATTCTTTGGTTTAGCGGATCTTCCTCCATCTTTGAAGCCAGCAGCAATGGGCCAGATCCTTCACTCACCTCTCTGCCTTCCTCTTCCACTTACAAAGACTCTTTTGATTACACTGGATACCTCCAGATTAACCAAGATAATCTCCCCATCTTAAGGGCAGGTGACCAGCAATCTTAATTCCCCTTTGCCATGTAATCTAACATAGTCACAGGTTCCAGGAAGTAAAACATGGACGTCTGCTCCCCACAGGTCTCCTGAGGAGTCCTTGACACCTGCCCCACACCAGGCTTCCTCCACCTCCAACCCAGCTTCTATGTGTTTAAGCTTTGGGTTGTTTTTTCGTCTCTCTTTTGATTCAAGTGTCTCCCCACAAGTTTTTATAAAGTAACATTCCTCTTCGTCTTTCTTCTTGCAGGGGGAGAGGGAAAAAGTCTCCTTTTGTCACCCTTGGTAGAGTGCTGTGGCATCACAGCTCACAGCAACCTCAAACTCTTGGGTTCAAGTGATACTCTTGCCTGAGCCTCCCAAGTACCTGGGTATATAGGAGCCTGCCACAGCGGCCAGACCATTTTTGGGGGGAGGGGGGAGGTTTAGAGATGGGAATCTTGCTCTTGCTTAGGCTGGTCTTGAACTTCTGAGCTCCAGCAATCCACTCACCTTGGCCTCCCAGAGTGCTGGGACTACAGGCATGAGCCACCATGCCCAGACTTCTTCATGATTATTTGGAGATTTATTTATGTGTATCAGTAGTCCATTCCTTTTCATTGCTGAGTAATGTTCCATTGTATGAATATCCTACAAATTGTTTATTCATATAATTCTTCCAGTCCTTTGCCAACATAAGTCTTTTGGGTTTGGAAATGTCTCTTTCTTCTACATCCTTTTTTATTAACAAAACAATGCATTCCAGACAAGGCACCTGGGAGTGTACAGCGTCCAAGATAAGGGGTCACTCTTTGCCCTCAGCTTAAGGCTTCCAATTACAGGTAACCCATCCGAAAGCCTCTTCTGAAGCCAGGAATTTCACTGCCAGCAGCCTGGTGTCCACACTCATGATTCTTAGAGGGGCTCAGGTCAAGCATTTTAAAGACCTGGGAGGATGGGGCTCACATGCTCAAAAAAAAAAAAAAAAAAACCCTTCACTTATTTTTATGGAACCCTGTGTTAAGGAGATTCTAATTTTAAAAATATATCGACTTTTTCCTTTATAATTTATGCATTTTTGGTTATTAAGGTTATAAATATACCCTCCTAGGCATCTTCTCAAAATTTTAAAATTTTGTTTTCCTCAGTGAGGTACTTAATCCACCTGCAGTTGGCTTTTGTGGAGGACAGGAGCATCTTGTTGAGGAGTCCCCTGCCTTCCCCACTGATGCTTCTTTGTCGTCCATATTACATGTGCGAACCTGCTGCAGGCTCTGCGTTCCTTCCCACTTGATTTCACTAGTCTTTTCCAGCACTAAAACCTCCATGCATTAATTACTACAGCTTCATCATAACTCTTAAACATTGAGTAGGGAGAGTCATCCTACCTTCTTTTTTTCTGCAGAATTTTCTTGGCTATTCTTGGTCCTCTGCTCTTCCACGTGGACTGTAGAACCTGCTTGTTGAATTCTACTGCAAACTACTTCTGGGATTTTGATCTAAACTGTATTGACTGTATAAAATAATCTGACAACTGACATCTTTTCCAAATGAATCTTCCCATTCATGATAAAACACGTCTCCATTAATTTAGACCTTCTTTTATGTCTTTTAATTAACTTTTAAACTATATTCCATACTTTATTTTAATTTTGTTAATTTCTCCTTAATGTAGATTTTCTGTTCCAGGATCTCATCCAGGACACCACATGACATTTAGTCATGTCTCCTTAGGTTTCTCTGGGCTGTGACAATTTCTCAGACTCTCCTTGTTTTTGATAATCTTGACAGCTCAATTTGGGTTTATCTGGTATTTTCCTCATGGTTAGCCTGGGGTTATGGGATTTGGGGAGGAAGACTTTAGCACATACCAAGAGTACATGCTATCAACATGACTTATCACAAGGTTACTCTTGATGATCTAAGGTGGTATTTGTTATCTTTCACCACTGTCCCCCTCTCTATCCATAGGGCACTCTTGGAAGCAAGTCACATTATATATCACATTTAAGAGCTGGAGAGTTATGTTCCATCTACCCAAGAAGTCTCTACATTAATTATTTGGAATGAGTTTATTGCTATCAGTGTAAACACAAAGGTCTTCCTTGATCTGGCTTCTCCACACTCAGATGGGACCCTTGTCTCCTTAGTCTCTTCTCTTGGGTCACATGGGGTTTTCATTCCTTACACTTCTCAAAAGTACCACCCTCTCTCTTAACTCCCAGATTTCCTATCCCATCTTTCCTACCACCTGGAATACTCTCCTGCCCTCTTTGCAATAGCCAACTCTCACTTACTCTTTAGATTTTTGCTTAAGTCACTTCTTCGGGAAAATCTTCTATGACCTCTATGATGGAGTAAATTGTGCCTCCCCCAATTCACATGCTACCCTAACCCCCAATGTGACTATATTTGGACATAGCGCCTTTAAAGAGGTAATTAAATGAGGTGGTAAGTGTGTACCCTAATACAACATGACTGATAACCTTATAAGAAGAGAGATAGCAACACACATGCAAGGAGCTGACCACATGCACACAAAGTGAGAAGGTGGCCACCTGTGAGTTAAGGAGAGAGGCCTCTGAAGAATCTAAACACACTGATATCTTGATCTTGGACCCTAGGATTCCAGAACTGTGAGAACACGCATTTCTGTCGTGTAAGCTACCCCTGTTACTGCTGTTACAGCAGCCCCAGCACATTAATACAACCTCCTAAGCTGGCTTAGGTTCCTATACTTTGCAAGTCTCTTTTTGTATCACATTACACTTGAAATTAATATCTGTTTTCCTTACTGAACTATAGATGTTATGAGGAAAGGTAATTCTTTTGCTGTATTCTTTTGTGCCTAGCAAAACTCAACATATAGCAAGAGCCTAAGAAATGAATAAATAGAATTTAGGCAACACATGACCACATAAATTTCAATTAATTTAAAATGAAATAAAATTAGAAATTCGATTCCTCAATCATGTGAAGACATCTGAAATGCTCAGTAAGTGCATGTGGCTGGTGGCTACCACAGTGCACGGTGTGGACTGCAGAACATTTCCACAATCACAAAAAGTTCTCCTGGACAGTGTTGCTTTAAATCGTATCTGAAGGAAACTTGAGCCTGAATAAAAGAAAGACAGGAGGCAGAAGGAATGACAAAGATCAAGTACAGAGTATGAAACACAAGAGTGTGTGTGGGAAACTATCGGCAGTTTGCTGCTACTCAAGTGTGAGGTAGGAGAGACCAGAGGTAAGGACAAGGTCAGGGGAGGACTTAAGTCCTGATGAGAGCTTGGGATTTATTGTGACTGCAAAAGGAATCCAAGCAGAGAAGCGTCTGGGTCAGATTTGCATTTTAGATACATTACTCTGTGGGGAGTATAAACCTAGAGGCAGGAAAAACAATTAGGGGGTTGTTGAAACAGTCTGGGTAAGAGGAACCAGAACACAGGGAGGGCTGGAGGGCCGGAGCTGGAGAAAGAAGCCAAACCCAGATGGGATGCTTGGTGGAGAGATGGGAGGAGTCCAGTATGACTTGTGAATTTCTGGATGGTGGTGCCACCAACCGAGACCAGGATGAAGGGGAAGGAGAACCAGGTTTTATTTGAGAGGGGGAGGGTAGAGAGGGAAAGAAATGAGGATTCCATTTTGGACCCATTAAGTTTGAGGTGCTTGGGGGATACAGTGGGTATGACAGTTGGCCATAGAGGCTGAGGCCCAGGAAAGAAAGCTAGGTGTCAATTTAGACATGGATGTCACCCAAGGTGGTAAGTCAAAGTGCTCAACCAGCTGAAGACAAAGGTGAGCAGCAGGCTAAGGCCAGAACTCCATGGAACGAGCAGAAGCGAGCCCAAGAGGGACACAGAGCACACATTAGGGATGAATTGTTTATGATTCATACATTTTATTTTTAAAACCATTTTAGTTTTTGGACCCACATAATCTCCTGGAAGCAGCAATTTCAACATAGTTACATTTGCTACATGGATTTGTCTGCTTATTGTTTTATCTCTATGCTCAAACAAGTTCCCTGAAGTTTGCACAGGGACTGACTGATTTGGAACTTCTTGAATGTCATCTGTGAAATCAGAGTCTATCTATGTTCTTTGAGATCCCACCTGTCTGAGCTGGGGAAGGGATTTTCTGTCATTAGGAAGAGCAAAAAGGAATGACACTCAAAAGCCATTCATGTAATTTGATGGATTGTGAGAGAAAGCCATTTGATTTTACCTCTGCAAACCACCCCCTCCTCCACCAAAAGAAAGGGCTCTACCCTAAAACAGGAGTGGTCCCAGACTGATCAAGGGGGATCTTGGTGATCTCTTAGGGAAAAGTTAGGCTCATTGTCAATGGGGAAACAGTAGCTCCTTTTGAACCAATTCTTCATAGAAGGGGACAAAATGTGAAGGAATTTTTTTGAATTTTTGTGAATCCTGATCAGAATGTTAATAGTTTCTTTGATACCAGTTAAAAGCCAGAAAATACTTCCCTGAGGCAGTAACTTGCTTCTCCATACTTTCTATTTAATTTCTTTTCTTTTTTTTTTTTTTTTTTGAGACAGAGTCTTACTTTATCACCCTTGGTACAGTGCCGTGGCATCACAAGTCACAACAACCCCCAGCTTGTGGGCTTAGGCGATTCTTTTGCCTCAGCCTCCCGAGTAGCTGGGAGTACGGGTGCCCACCACAATGTCCGGCTATTTTTTGGTTGCAGTTTTACTGGGGCCAGGTTTGAACCCACCACCCTTGGTATATGGGCCGGTGCCCTACTTGCTGAGCCATAGGTACCTCCCACTTTCTGTTTAATTTCAATTACTTCTTTTTTTCCTTAAGAGTCATAAACCTGTCAGGCAACCCAAGAACTAAGAGTAATCATTTCTCTTTAATCACTCCACCTATCCAAAACAAAATTTATTTATGATTTACTGGTACTTACTGATTTCATCCACATTTTTAAGAAATTTCTGCAAATCTTTTTCTTGATCATCAGCCATTGTAAACCAGAATCCCTAAGGGAGGCAGCAAACATTTTAAAATTAATAATAATAAAGCACTAAACAGAACAGTCAGGCTTACTAGGCCTTCTAAAACTAAAAACCAAGTGATTATTTTTAAGGCAGATTTGTGTTTATAAATGTTATGATTAACAGCAGGGCGATCCGTTTCACTTTAACCTCTGTTTAGGGCCAAGGAACATTCTTTATTCGTGGTGATACTTCCAGAAAGCTTCCAGGTCTCCTTCTACTGGAGACATCACTCTGCAAATAGTTCCTTCAAAGCCAATGTCAAGTCCTGTGATTTGGTGACCTGGCATGAAGGAGATCAAGGGCAGAGCAACTGACAGTCTTCCACAGATGGAGAAGTATCCTAACAACTGCCTTTGATCATGATGGGATGGTCTGCCTAACAGGTAACCAGAGATGGGCACACTCTGCATCTAAATGTCTGTACTTGTCTCAAATATAAGCCTCTGGACTGTTTCTGAGGAGTGAAACTACAAATTGGCTGAAAGGATTACAACTTGACAGGAGCACTAGCGTCTCTTCCCCTCTCCAAGCACTTAGTTCACAGTTATTCTAGGGTCACCCACAGATCATAAAAATCATCTGAAAGATTGGTAAATATACAGATTGCTCGGTCTTAACCCCAGAGATTCCTAGTCAGTAAACCTGGGATAGTGCCCAGGAATGCATATTTTAAATACTCTCCAGGTGATTCTGATCTGCAGTCTATTAGTGTAGTAAAGAAACACACCTATAACTAAAATTAGAAATCTGCCTTGAATGAACTGTGAATTGTTATGAGCTGTGGATATGTGTCTTAATGTCTCTAACTGCACCAATTACACGAAAGTCACAACCTCTCTGAGCTTCACAGTCCTCGCCAATCCTATGCGACCAGGAGAACTATCGGGGGACTGATGGACAGCACCAGGCACCGTCTAAGTGGTCAGCCTGGGGCACCCTTACCTAGAAAACAGGAGGTGGGGGTGCGGCTTAGTCGGGGCTCCTTCCAGGTCAAACTCCCAAGGAACAGGGGCCTAGTGAAGTGAATTAATTTGCCCAAGAGTTCGAGGGTCAGAAGGCAGGGTAGGCAATTCCCTGACAGGAGCGACCTCTCTGCTCCCAGGGCACGGATCTAAGGGCACACATTCCCTGGCCAATGCTACCCACTGCAGGACCAGAAGGTCCCCGCGGGGAGAAGACGAAGGCGCGCCAACCTCAGGAGTTTCGCTCCGCAGAGCATGCGCGGCGGGGACGCGCGCCTGAGCCTCGCGCCGCTCGCCCTCGCGGAGAGGCGGGGCCGCCCGCACCGTTGCCTGGCAACCGCTCCCCAGCGTCCGCCCGCCTGGCGCCCTCCGTGGAGGGACCAAGCCTAGGCCTATACTGTCCCATTCCCTGCGACACAAACCAGCGTGCTATGCTCGGCTCTGACTGCCGTTCCAGGCCCACGTCCCAGTGGGGAAGCCCAGCGCTGCGTAGCTGCACCGACCAGAAGCGCTCAGGTTCGGACGGAAAATGGCGGCTGTGGGCGGACTGGGACACGTGGAGGTGGGGCGGGACCGGGGCGGATCGGGGCGTGGCCTGGGGCAGGGGATAGGGGCGTGGCTTCTCTAGGGGCGTGGCGAGAGTGGAAGTCGCTCTGACGCTCGCTTGGGCACTTAGCCAGGTTCAAAGGCGAGCTAGGGACTGCGGGAAGACCGGGATGGGAGTGGTGGGGAAGTCAAGAGCTGATCTCAAAAGTAGCGCCAGGCTCTAGCTTCTTTTTTTTCTTAGAGGTACGTTTCCCTCCCAATTAGTTTAATATCCTTGGCGTAAAAGACCAAAGTTTCCCATTGTACTTGGGAGAGACAGGCTTGGGTCTGAATCTGGCTTTATTTACTGATAAATGTTTGAGCTTTGAAGGGTTAAGTAACCTCTTTGATCCTCAGTTTTCCCATCTATAAAATGGAGAAATGCAACTTTCTCTTAAGGTTTTTGGTTAAAGTCGGTGCTGCCCAGTCAGTACAAATGCGTGCTAATTAATATCCACGGAATCATGATCTGACACAGGGCAGAGCTGAGGGGCCTATTCATACTCTGAATACATGCACACACGCTTAAAAAAATGTCAGGTTATTTTCCTAAACAAAAGGCTCAATATATTGTGTTCTGGTCACCAAGGGAAAAAAGCAGGTTTGGGGGAAACTTTCTGATGCTCAGAAATACCTGGGGCTTCTTGGCAAATTTATGAGTGCTTTATGGAAACCTGTTTGAAAGGGAATGAGGAACCTCTAGAATTTACCAGAAAAGGGTGGCCTCCAGGCATGGCCAGCTAGCTCCAACACTGACTCCAGGGGCAGCCTGTTGACTTTGTCTTGTGGCTTATGCCTGGTAGGGTGCATGCCTGAAAACCACAGAGGAGAATGGATTACTGTTTGCAGTCTCCAGGAGGCACTGGAACACACAGTCCTGCTTGGGTTACCCTGCTAATGGTGTATAGCACAAAGGAGCCAGCTAAGTGGGCCCAGTTCAGCAGAGTGAGTTCTTTGGCCCATCAGCTCTTGCAAGAAGCAGCGGGGCCTAGGGGACCCGGCAGTACACAGCCACAACTGCTGTCCTGCGGGACTGAGGTACCTCATGGAAAGTAGCAGAAAAGGGAACTGCCGGGCAAGAGCAAGGTTGTCTTGCGGTAACCACAGGTCTGGCACACTCCAGGGATCCCAGAAAGTCAAAGGATACTTCACGATGACCTTCAAGCCTTTGAGAATTAACAGAAAAAAGAAACAGTGACATTTTGGTTATTACTGTTAGTACCACTCCATTTTCCTTTTGGGCACGTGAGGCCTTGAGTATACAAAGGCTGTACATCTGTGGTCCCAACCTCAGAGCTTTGGGTTTTTTTGTTTTTTGTTTGTTTGTTCGTTTGTCATTTGGGGGCTGATAGTTGCAAATCACTAACTTCCTATTACACTACTCTTTTCACTGCTCTCCTTTCCCTGGGACCCACCCACAGCGGATTATACCATACAACCATTCACTTAAGCATTCATCCATCCTCACACTAGTCCATAGCATGCAGTGAAAGGTCCCTGGAGTGCTTTTGACAAATGTTTATGGTGCGCTGAGTGGTGCTCTGGAGTCATTCTGCTGCTGAGGTTAGATCTCAGCTCTCTGCCTACTGTCACTTATTAAAATATCATTAAACACCTACTGTGTACTTGCTATTGTACTAAGTACTGGAGGTCTTTTTCCTTCTGCAAACACTGCAAATACTGCTAGAGGTATGACTCTGAGTAATCTCTATGTGCCTTCACAGTTTCCTCATCTGTAAAATGGGATTATTAAGTGGTATCTGCTCCATAGGATTCCTGTGAGAAGCACATGATTTAATATAGGTGATGTGCTTAGAGCAATGCTAGGGGCATTATCAATACCCAGTATATGTTATTAACTATTATCGTAACTCTGATCAGTATATATTAGACCAGTACCTCTGAACCTAGATTATGCACAGAAACTGCCTTGGGATTTTGTTTAAAATACAGATTCTAGGTCAACAGGCCATGGGGCTGAGATTCTGCAGTGATGCCCCTCTGCGGACGAAGGCCAGACTGTGTAGCAAAGTGCAGACACTTTATCCAGTTCTGGGATGGAGGAGGGTACAAGTGGAGCTTATCACTCAAGTTGGTACAGAGGAATAAAGGTCAATAAAATAAAACACATCAAATTCTCATTGTGATAAGTCATTTAGAAGTAGAGGATGAAAAGTAAAAGGAGCAAAGAGTGCTGTGAAGGTCTGGTCTCACCTTGGAGGTCTTCTCTGTGATGTACTGTTGAAGCTGAGACTTGAGGGGTGACTGGGCACCGGCCAGTTGGGGGGGGCGTGGAAACAAAGGAAACAGTATGAGCTGTGAGGGAGGAGCCTGACATGGGTGAGGAAGCAACAGAAGGCTGGTTAAACTTGGCCACTGTATAGACAGCAAGAGGTAGGCTGTGCAAGAAGAAGCAGGTATAGATCACAGTAGGGCCTTTGGAAGCTGCGTGAAGGTTTTGAGTCTTTACTCTAAGTATCACCAGCAACCTTCCAGGGGTTTTGAGCGGAAGAGTGACATCAGCCTAGCTAACAGAAACCTCAGACTCCTGGGTTTAACTGATTGATCCTCCTGCTTCAGCTTTCCCAGTAGCTGGGGCTAGAGGCACCTGCCACTCACCCAGGCAAAATTTTCTATCTTTAGTAGAGATGGGGTTTTACTCTTGCTCAGGCTGGTCATGAACTCCTGACCTCAAGTGATCCTTTACCTCAGCCTCCCAGAGTGCTAGGACTATGGGCGTGAGCCACCATGCCCAGCCATGGTCAGATTTTTTTTTTTTCTTAGAAAATTATTCTGGCTGCAATGCAGAGAATGATCTGGAAGAGGGATGCTAGGAGACAGGTGATGGGGTTACCAATAGGAGTAGAGATGAATTTGGAAGGAACATTCACAGCAGGGAAGTATTAGCAATGGCATTAGGTTTCTGGCTTGAGCCGGATTGGGGCTTTCCACTGGCTGAGCTAGAGAAGATTAGAGCACCAGGTTTGGAGAAAAGGTGAGTTCAGACTTGTCATATTCAATTCAAAATTCCTATGAGTTATCCAAGTGTAGGTGTTGGGTAAATTGCTAATTGTTCCTTAATATTTAACGTCCTTTTCTTTAGATCTACCAATTTTTAGCAAAGACCTAAGGCACCTAGAATAAACTATTTCCCACCATTCCTTGTACAGGACTAAGTTCTGACTGATTAGATATAAACAGATATGGTACTACTTCTGGGAGGTGGTGGTATTACTTCAAGGATGAACTTTCCTGGCTTTCCACATTCTTGTTGGCTAGAATGTGGACGCAATGGCTAGATCTCAGTTAGCCATTTTGGACTGTTTAGTAGAAGGATGGATAGACATAAGCTAGAAGGTACCTGGGTTCTAATGATCATAGACATTTAAGCTCAACAAAACCTTGTTGCTAGGAACATAAAGACTTTTTTTGACAGAAATTTTGACAAATATTATTGGGAGTGTCTGTTTTGATTGGAAGCCATGTGGACACAGACTCTGTCCTCAAAGAACTCACAGTCCAGTGAGGAGCATCCATAATAGAGCCCAGCATATCTAATACATAAGGAACTAGGCCTACTGTACATTGAGTACATGTGATGTATGTCCAGTCTATGAAAATTAGGTCAATTTAAGAAGGTGTTCAATGTCAGGAAGCAGTCAACTACTGTGTATTCAAATGGGTTTCAGATGGGTACAGGGAAATAGTCTATTAAAGTGTTGGTGACTTGTATTCTAAATATATTTCTCCTAGGGAATCTTTATGAATTATACTTTTACAATGCCTGCTTTCACCCAACCTAAATCCCTTTTGTGGTACTTAAGTTTTATTTTTTTATGTCCTCAATAAAAATTGGCAAACATGGCTCGGTGCCTGTGGCTCAAGTCACTAAGGCGCCAGCCATGTACACCCAAGGTGGCAGGTTCGAATCCAGCCTGGGCCTGCCAAACAACAATGATGGCTGCAACCAAAAAATAGCCGGGCGTTGTTGCAGGTGCCTGTGGTCCCAGCTACTTGGGAGGTGGAGGCAGGAGACTCCGCTTGAGCCCAGGAGTTGGAGGTTGCTGTGAGCTGAGATGCCACGGCACTCTACCCAGGGGGATAGCTTGAGGCTTCTGTCTCAAAAAAAAAAAATTGGCAAACATTTGTTTACCTTCCGTTGTATAGTAAATCTGAGACTTGTAGATTATGATAAGCTATCTCTCCTCTCTTTCACTCTTCTCTCTCTTTAGTGTGAACAGTCCCATATCTTTGCTTTTTCTCATCAGTCACATCTTATAAGCTTAGAAAAGAGAAAAGTCCAATTCCTACCCCAACTGGGACAACTATATAAGGAATAAAGAGATCCAGCCTTTGCTTGCTGAGGGTAAATGGTATAGACAGGGTCAGCCAGAATCCAGGAACCAAGCTATGAAAACGTTTTGTTAGACAAAACCCCTCACCATGGCTGCTGGGGCTGCAATTGGTTTGACAACTTTGGCTTCAAAAAATATTCTTTTTAATTAAAAAAATTTTTAATTTAAAAATTAATTTACCTTTGTCTTTATTATTTTTTTTAACCTGAATTTGTATCAAAACTAGAGGCTTCAAGATTCAGAAAGGAGACTGGGTGTGATAGCTCATACCTATATTCCTAGCACTCTGGGAGGCCGAGGTAGGTAGATTGCTTGAGCTCAGGAGTTCAAAACCAGCCTGACTAAGAGTGAGATACCCTGTCTCTACTAAAAATAGCTCTGTGTAATGGTGGGCACCTGTAGTCCCAGCTACTCAGAAGGCTGAGGCAAGAGGATAGCTTGAGCCCAAGAATCAATGTTTCTGTGAGCTAAGATGCCAGGGCACTCCATGTCCCCAAAACAAAACAAAACTTTCTTTCTTTGGGTGCCAAGTTGGAGTC